CTATCCACTGTCCTCTCTCTCTCTGGTTTCAGACTCTATCCACTGTCCTCTCTCTCTCTGGTTTCAGACTCTATCCACTGTCCTCTCTCTCTCTCTGGTTTCAGACTCTATCCACTGTCTCTCTCTCTCTCTGGTTTCAGACTCTATCCACTGTCCTCTCTCTCTCTCTGGTTTCAGACTCTATCCACTGTCCTCTCTCTCTCTGGTTTCAGACTCTATCCACTGTCCTCTCTCTCTCTGGTTTCAGACTCTATCCACTGTCCTCTCTCTCTCTGGTTTCAGACTCTATCCACTGTCCTCTCTCTCTCTGGTTTCAGACTCTATCCACTGTCTCTCTCTCTCTCTCTGGTTTCAGACTCTATCCACTGTCCTCTCTCTCTCTCTGGTTTCAGACTCTATCCACTGTCCTCTCTCTCTCTCTGGTTTCTGACTCTATCCACTGTCCTCTCTCTCTCTCTGGTTTCTGACTCTATCCACTGTCCTCTCTCTCTCTGGTTTCTGACTCTATCCACTGTCCTCTCTCTCTCTGGTTTCTGACTCTATCCACTGTCCTCTCTCTCTCTCTGGTTTCTGACTCTATCCACTGTCCTCTCTCTCTCTCTGGTTTCAGACTCTATCCACTGTCCTCTCTCTCTCTCTGGTTTCAGACTCTATCCACTGTCCTCTCTCTCTCTCTGGTTTCAGACTCTATCCACTGTCCTCTCTCTCTCTCTGGTTTCTGACTCTATCCACTGTCCTCTCTCTCTCTGTTTCTGACTCTTCCACTGACTCTATCCACTGTCCTCTCTCTCTCTCTGGTTTCAGACTCTATCCACTGTCTCTCTCTCTCTCTGGTTTCTGACTCTATCCACTGTCCTCTCTCTCTCTCTGGTTTCTGACTCTATCCACTGTCCTCTCTCTCCTCTGGTTTCTGACTCTATCCACTGTCCTCTCTCTCTCTCTGGTTTCTGACTCTATCCACTGTCCTCTCTCTCTCTGGTTTCTGACTCTATCCACTGTCCTCTCTCTCTCTGGTTTCTGACTCTATCCACTGTCCTCTCTCTCTCTGGTTTCTGACTCTATCCACTGTCCTCTCTCTCTCTGGTTTCTGACTCTATCCACTGTCCTCTCTCTCTCTGGTTTCTGACTCTATCCACTGTCCTCTCTCTCTCTGGTTTCTGACTCTATCCACTGTCCTCTCTCTCTCTGGTTTCTGACTCTATCCACTGTCCTCTCTCTCTCTGGTTTCAGACTCTATCCACTGTCCTCTCTCTCTCTCTGGTTTCTGACTCTATCCACTGTCCTCTCTCTCTCTGGTTTCAGACTCTATCCACTGTCCTCTCTCTCTCTGGTTTCTGACTCTATCCACTGTCCTCTCTCTCTCTGGTTTCTGACTCTATCCACTGTCCTCTCTCTCTCTCTGACTCTATCCACTGTCCTCTCTCTCTCTGGTTTCTGACTCTATCCACTGTCCTCTCTCTCTCTGGTTTCAGACTCTATCCACTGTCCTCTCTCTCTCTCTGACTCTATCCACTGTCCTCTCTCTCTCTGGTTTCTGACTCTATCCACTGTCCTCTCTCTCTCTCTGACTCTATCCACTGTCCTCTCTCTCTCTGGTTTCAGACTCTATCCACTGTCCTCTCTCTCTCTGGTTTCAGACTCTATCCACTGTCCTCTCTCTCTCTGGTTTCTGACTCTATCCACTGTCCTCTCTCTCTCTGGTTTCTGACTCTATCCACTGTCCTCTCTCTCTCTGGTTTCGACTCTATCCACTGTCCTCTCTCTCTCTGGTTTCTGACTCTATCCACTGTCCTCTCTCTCTCTGGTTTCTGACTCTATCCACTGTCTCTCTCTCTCTGGTTTCTGACTCTATCCACTGTCCTCTCTCTCTCTGGTTTCTCAGACTCTATCCACTGTCCTCTCTCTCCTCTGGTTTCTGACTCTATCCACTGTCCTCTCTCTCTCTGGTTTCTGACTCTATCCACTGTCCTCTCTCTCTCTGGTTTCAGACTCTATCCACTGTCCTCTCTCTCTCTGGTTTCTGACTCTATCCACTGTCCTCTCTCTCTGGTTTCTGACTCTATCCACTGTCCTCTCTCTCTCTGGTTTCTGACTCTATCCACTGTCCTCTCTCTCTCTCTGACTCTATCCACTGTCCTCTCTCTCTGGTTTCTGACTCTATCCACTGTCCTCTCTCTCTCTCTGGTTTCTGACTCTATCCACTGTCCTCTCTCTCTCTGGTTTCTGACTCTATCCACTGTCCTCTCTCTCTCTGGTTTCAGACTCTATCCACTGTCTCTCTCTCTCTGGTTTCAGACTCTATCCACTGTCCTCTCTCTCTCTCTCTGGTTTCTGACTCTATCCACTGTCCTCTCTCTCTCTCTGGTTTCTGACTCTATCCACTGTCCTCTCTCTCTCTGGTTTCTGACTCTATCACTGCTCTATCCACTGTCCTCTCTCTCTCTGGTTTCAGACTCTATCCACTGTCCTCTCTCTCTCTGGTTTCAGACTCTATCCACTGTCCTCTCTCTCTCTGGTTTCTGACTCTATCCACTGTCCTCTCTCTCTCTGGTTTCTGACTCTATCCACTGTCCTCTCTCTCTCTGGTTTCAGACTCTATCCACTGTCCTCTCTCTCTCTGGTTTCAGACTCTATCCACTGTCCTCTCTCTCTCTGGTTTCAGACTCTATCCACTGTCTCTCTCTGACTCTATCCACTGTCCTCTCTCTCTCTGGTTTCAGACTCTATCCACTGTCCTCTCTCTCTCTGGTTTCTGACTCTATCCACTGTCCTCTCTCTCTCTGGTTTCTGACTCTATCCACTGTCCTCTCTCTCTCTGGTTTCAGACTCTATCCACTGTCCTCTCTCTCTCTGGTTTCAGACTCTATCCACTGTCCTCTCTCTCTCTGGTTTCAGACTCTATCCACTGTCCTCTCTCTCTATCCACTGTCCTCTCTCTCTCTCTGGTTTCTGACTCTATCCACTGTCCTCTCTCTCTCTGGTTTCTGACTCTATCCACTGTCCTCTCTCTCTCTGGTTTCTGACTCTATCCACTGTCCTCCTCTCTCTCTGGTTTCAGACTCTATCCACTGTCCTCTCTCTCTCTGGTTTCAGACTCTATCCACTGTCCTCTCTCTCCTGGTTTCTGACTCTATCCACTGTCCTCTCTCTCTCTGGTTTCTGACTCTATCCACTGTCTCTCTCTCTCTGGTTTCAGACTCTATCCACTGTCTCTCTCTCTCTGGTTTCTGACTCTATCCACTGTCCTCTCTCTCTCTGGTTTCAGACTCTATCCACTGTCCTCTCTCTCTCTGGTTTCTGACTCTATCCACTGTCCTCTCTCTCTCTGGTTTCAGACTCTATCCACTGTCCTCTCTCTCTCTCTGGTTTCAGACTCTATCCACTGTCCTCTCTCTCTCTCTGGTTTCTGACTCTATCCACTGTCTCTCTCTCTGGTTTCTGACTCTATCCACTGTCCTCTCTCTCTCTGGTTTCTGACTCTATCCACTGTCCTCTCTCTCTCTCTGGTTTCTGACTCTATCCACTGTCCTCTCTCTCTCTCTCTGGTTTCAGACTCTATCCACTGTCCTCTCTCTCTCTGGTTTCTGACTCTATCCACTGTCCTCTCTCTCTCTCTTCTGACTCTATCCACTGTCCTCTCTCTCTGGTTTCAGACTCTATCCACTGTCCTCTCTCTCTCTGGTTTCAGACTCTATCCACTGTCCTCTCTCTCTCTGGTTTCAGACTCTATCCACTGTCCTCTCTCTCTCTCTGACTCTATCCACTGTCCTCTCTCTCTGGTTTCTGACTCTATCCACTGTCCTCTCTCTCTCTGGTTTCTGACTCTATCCACTGTCCTCTCTCTCTCTCTGGTTTCTGACTCTATCCACTGTCCTCTCTCTCTCTCTCTGGTTTCAGACTCTATCCACTGTCCTCTCTCTCTCTCTGGTTTCTGACTCTATCCACTGTCCTCTCTCTCTCTGGTTTCTGACTCTATCCACTGTCCTCTCTCTCTCTGGTTTCTGACTCTATCCACTGTCCTCTCTCTCTCTGGTTTCAGACTCTATCCACTGTCCTCTCTCTCTCTCTCTGGTTTCTGACTCTATCCACTGTCCTCTCTCTCTCTCTGGTTTCAGACTCTATCCACTGTCCTCTCTCTCTCTGGTTTCTGACTCTATCCACTGTCCTCTCTCTCTCTGGTTTCAGACTCTATCCACTGTCCTCTCTCTCTCTGGTTTCTGACTCTATCCACTGTCCTCTCTCTCTCTGGTTTCTGACTCTATCCACTGTCCTCTCTCTCTCTGGTTTCAGACTCTATCCACTGTCCTCTCTCTCTCTGGTTTCTGACTCTATCCACTGTCCTCTCTCTCTCTGGTTTCTGACTCTATCCACTGTCCTCTCTCTCTCTGGTTTCAGACTCTATCCACTGTCCTCTCTCTCTCTCTGGTTTCTGACTCTATCCACTGTCCTCTCTCTCTCTGGTTTCTGACTCTATCCACTGTCCTCTCTCTCTCTCTGGTTTCAGACTCTATCCACTGTCCTCTCTCTCTCTCTGGTTTCTGACTCTATCCACTGTCCTCTCTCTCTCTGGTTTCAGACTCTATCCACTGTCCTCTCTCTCTCTCTGGTTTCTGACTCTATCCACTGTCCTCTCTCTCTCTGGTTTATAAAAAATATATATATATATAAAAAAAGTCACAGTGCAGAGTTAGAGTTTGAAATCTGTAAACAGGTGAGTCTTCAACCTCCATTTAAAAGAGCTGAGAGACAGAAATTCTGCTTTAAAATGGAAATCTTCATTGTGATGGAATGAAACCAAATGAAAGCTTCATGCCTGTTTCCTTCCAGAAGTCTGGTTTCAGCTCTGTAACACCCCCCTTCATGTCTATGCAAATCCTCCATGTACAGTATGTCTGTCTGCTGCCTGCCTGCTGAGTCAGCTCTATTTTAGCCTCTTTATTCCCTTTCACCTTTCACACTTCTCCTGTCACATCACGTCCCATCTCTCTCTCTCCTCCCAGGAGAAGAACTTGGAGTGGTTCCCCAGGATGAGAGCCATGTCTCTGGTGAGCAGCGAGGGAGACAACGAGCAGAACGAGATGCGCTCTCTGCAGGAGAAGCTGGACAGCACCATCACTCTGGTGATGCAGCTGTCAGGCCAGCTGTCTGAGCTCAAGGAAAAGGTCCAGTTCAACTTTTATGAATTATTTATTTCTCATACTTTTTATTTACACAACACAAAGAACAGGAAAGAATCAAAAGAAAAAAAAATGTTTGGGTTGGGGGACATTCTTAGCTTTCCTATCATCCAAAGAGTTAGTTTCTGTCACTGTCTCCAATGTTGTTGATGCTCATGTTCATAAAAGTTCTCGTCCTAGCTCTTATGTCAGAACTGAAATATGAATATGAAATATGAAATATGAAATAACAACTAAACTACACAAGAACTGCAACTCCATCATTCTGGTTTTATGAGCACAAGACAAACATTGTTAACAACTTCCTAAATCACAACAGATGATTTAAATAAGATTTTGACCTATTAGATAGAGCCTTGGATATATAGCTCATACGATTAAACAATTTGACCAATGAGAAGAAGTCCCAGCTAGCTGTAAGCTAACATCAGATGAATTGGTGAAGGGCAGAGGTGAATGTGTTTGGTAAAAAGAACCGCACTTCTGTGTTTGGGGTTTGGATCCAGGAAATAGAACATGTTAAAAAACACAGGTTGTGGTGAACACATGAAGAACAGCAGAATGCTATTAGCCAATCTTCTGATGAAGATTTATGCCATGGTAATTCTGGTGTAGCCAGTGGTTATCATGAAACGACTGCCTGACTGTTTCCTGGGCTGCATTGTTTAAAGTCCACTTAGCATGGCGCTTCATTGTTTACAGAGTAATTAACAAAGGAAGAGACCATTTGTTAAAGCAGAGTGAAAATCACTCCTGCAGAGTAAACACTGTCTTTTCTAGGTTTTAATATTATTAGTGCCCGTTCATCAGTTTCGGGTGAGTCTCAGTTTAACTGTAAACATTAAATTACAGAGAGGCTTCACTTTGGCTTCATTGGTGAGAGCCGTAATGAGGAACTGATGTTCTGCTGATTTACTCGTGAAGTGAAACGGTTCTTTGAGCTCGCCAAGATTAAATCAATACGATGCAGATTTGTACAAAGTAAAAAGTGCACGCTTCGACTGGTCTGTCCTCAAGAGAAGAAAACAACTTTAAAAAACGCTTTGTTTGATTGATCATTTCCGATGCATTAAAGGAAGTCAGGAAATCCAAACGCTATGTCGTCTTTCCATCACAGCGTCAAGCAGACGAGTCTCTCAGTTAGAATTTTTAATCAAGATCAGATTGTTTTCTGCAGCTGCATGCAGGTATTTCTTTATAGAGAAGTAAAGCCTGACTCACGCTGTGAGATCGTTTCCCCGACTGTTTAAAAGTCGGGGTGTCATGTCAGCTCACACTGTACGACTGAATCGTTTACGACGCCCGACCAGACCTTGAGATCGACGTGCTCACACTGTACGAGCCGATTGTCGGGCACGGCCGGAGAGCTCACACTGTACGAGTGAAATCGAGACGGAGCGTTGACAATTGTTAATAAAGTTTCATTTAAAGAAGTAGGAAGAAGGAAGTGGAAGTTGTTGTAGGATATAGAAAAGTTGATACAATCGTAGATATATGGAGACAAGTTTCAGAAAAGTGCTGCACTGATGATCTGTACCGGGTTGCGTCCTGCCGCTGGTCGCCATGACTACAGTCCTCCCTTGTCTGATTATATTGTAGTCACACACAACTTCTGCCGGACCCTTTCATGATGTAATCGTTAAGATTTTAAATTCTAAATATCAAACATGTTTGAAATAAATCGGGGCGTCCCCGACGATCGCCGGGCAGATCGGGGACGTTAAAATTGGATCTTTGGACCGCTCACTCTACGAGATAATCTGAACAGATAATCGGGTCTGAGCAGCCTCGAGTCGGGAGAGACCCTGAGACTGTCGGGAAGAAGAAGAAGAATCAGAGCTCAAATCGGCCCGGTGATCCTGCAGAGTGAGCCAGGCTTTAAAGAATCTCCATGTTTCTGTAGATTATCTCAGTTCATACACGGTGAACCTCAGTAACGCCTGACCTCAGACTCCCACCGTGTAAACTCACCCTCAGGGCAGGACGTCCTGTATCAGTAGTCACATCACAGTATCTGTTCTGGATTCTTTGAGACCCGCCCTGATGCTCGTGAACTCAGCATGACAGGTGACTATCACGTCAACACATGCAGTACTGAGAGCCGGCAGTGAGTGAGCCTCTGGCTGTTTGTGTGACTCTCTGCAGTGTGACTGATCACTCTCATCACCTGCCTCCCCTGCATGTGATCCCAGTCACAGGCCAGTCCTTGTTCCTCTTTCTGCCTGATGTTAGAAAACCAGCTCCGATAAACAAAAACAAACTACCTCTGTCGACCTCAGTAAGTCTTCATGATGTAAATAAACAACAACGCAGAAGTAGCAGACATAGAAACAGAGTCCGCTACACGACGTTATAATGAGAATATTTGTCTTTATATCAATGCTATGTGTAATCCAATAGAATGACAACATCCACAAAAGAGAGGAGAACAACAAACTGACCAACAGAAAACAGAATGCAGACGTTTGATTAGAGCTCGGAGATCGTAGAGGTCGCGTGCAGACACTTTAAACAGTCTCTGTATATAAACATCATTCTCTTTCTATTGGCTCGAGGTGAACTCTCCGGAGTATATTCAGCCACGTTCAGACGTCAGCTCACTCTGACTTTCTGCGGATAAAATACTAGAGGTCTGGAGGAGAAACTCTAAAGGGTAAAGAGCGCGTTCACACATAGCCTAAAGAACCTCCGGGTAGTTTTTCAGGAGATTTCTGTACGTGTGAAAAGGGTTTGAGTGTGTGAGACACCAGAGCTTCATCTCTGAGTCTGCAGAGTCAGACTGTAGTGCGTTTATCAATCTGATGTAGCCTCACAAAGTCTGAAGTGACTCAGACGTAGTCATGGGGTTAGCAGGGCTGTCACACCTCCTTAAACACAAATTGAGGTGAGTTTTTTTTTTAAAGAGACTGAGCCACAATGCAGTCATGAGCCTGCTCACCAAAACTCTGCTGAACTCAAACTCCCACTGACAGAGAGAAACTCTGCTGACCTCCACACGGGGTTATACTTCACAGAACCAGCGTCCTTCACTTATGTACTTCACTTCATACCTTGTATTATTCTATTATTGGAGTTTGGATTTTTAACTTTTTGTTATTTTTGATAATTATATTCCTGTTTCTTGAGCTGTTGTGACAAAAAAATGTCTCCCATGGGGGCTCAATAAAGTTTATCTTTATCTTTTTCTTTATGATGTCTACACTGCCAATGTGATGTGAGAAACCAGCCACTTCTGATTCATGAAAACTCCCACACACACTTATAAAACATCCAACACATGATAGTGTTCTCTCTCGGATGATTGTTCCCAGGGACATTTTTATTTCCCAAGTGTGAATCCTTGAGAGGAAATGTAATATATTGTTACATATATATATTGTAACCCAGTGTATGCAGACTCATTTACTTAAAGAGATCCTTCACCTGTTGAAACATGAATCTGTGTTGACTTTGGGTCATATATGTAGAAATGTGAAATACATTTTGAAGTTGGTGTCTTCTTGGCCGAGAAAAGACAGAAAGTGTCTTTTTGGCTCATGTGGATGAAAGACACCAAATCCCAGAATGCACAGCACCGCAGGCCACAGCGGCGGCCGCAGCAGCCAAAACACAAGTCCGGCCTGTCGGCAGCAGCCGTCTCGCCGCTATGTTTATATTTTTTCTCCATTATCAGCTTTCTCCATAGAGCCTGTTAGCTTAGCTTCCAAGCAATATGGCGGACGTTAAGTTTGGATTCTGGGAGTGAGTTCCCACCCACTGATCTGTGATTGGTCTGTAGCTTCAGTGGTCGAGGAGGAACTAGCGTTGTAGTTTCACCCCGCTAACCACAACAGCTTCCAGTGATGCAAAAATCATCATTTTAGCGTCACTGGAAGCTCCTTTACAGACTCAGAAATACAAAGATTTCACACCTCAGGGGAAAATGAGGGCGGGATGCACGACCATTCAAAAATACTACCAGGTTTCTAATGATACAAAGATTAATGCAAGTATCCCTTTAAGTTATGAGCTAAATGTTTTTTTTTATATTTCATATAGAATGATATGCTGGTGCTTAGATTAAAAAAATGTGAAGTCATTGTACCTGCACTCAAAGTTCAAATAGAGACCATAACAGCGTTTGAACACAGTGGGAGCTTTTGAGTTTTTTGACTTGATAAAGAACAATAAAAACAAGAACACAGGCTGGCAGCTCATCATGTATGCTTCATTCAAAATTAAAAAAGCCACTCTGTGTTGATGTAATTTTTTTCTCTGCCTTTGTCCACAGATGACAGAACAGAGGAAGAACAAGCAGAGGCTTGGGTTTCTGGGTCCTCCTCAGCCCAACCATCACGTCCCGAGCCACTGAGAGGCTCCAACAGGACACAGTGATGGGACCAGAGGAGTGTGGGTGAACACCACATGAGAGAGCCAAGACACACAGAAACTTCAGAACAATACAAGAACTACAAGAACATTTAAGAGTAGTTCAAGACGGACAGTTTTAACACGGTGCCTTTACTATGACACAAACCCGTTCTGTGCCTTCAGAATCCCTTTATTGACCGTCTGTACACACCCCTACAGAGGAAGTGAGTGACTGGCCCGGCACGGCACACATCTACCAGTGTAGTGCTCGAGTGCCAGAGAGAGGTCGAGGGTTGTTAAGGGGCAAGGTTAACGGTTAAGTGCTGTCAAGTCTGTGGACGGCCGTCTCTCCTCGGCTGTCTCAGCGCCGACGTGTCAGAGAGCGAGGCCGACCGACCGCACAGCCTGGTGCTGAACAGAGAAGTTCGAGAAGTGTGTGTGTGCCAACATAAAGTATTCTCCCCTTTATGTTTTCATTCTCTGAAAGTATTATAGAGAACACTTTCAATTCATAACTGGAGTATTATTTTTTTGCCTTTTTTGAAAAAACAACCATGCTGCCTTACTCGTTAACTTTTATAAACCTACAACTGCTAATAGTTCTCTTTTTTAAAGGAAACAGATGAAAGCTTCTAACTGGAAACATGGTTAAATATGTGGGTATTCATTTAGCATGCTTAGTGTTTATAAATTGCCTTCACTGCATCATCTCAGTTCCCTTTTACAGATTTATATAAGTGACATAAATGTGAATAGAAATAATAACGACCTGTGCAGAACTTACTTGAAGATTCTTTTTTTTAATTTAAATCTTACGTCGGTACAAAGTGTAGTGATGACTGAGGATGGGAAGCTCATACTGTAATGTTTAACTATATCTGCTCGTATCATCTTCTTCCTCTACTGTTTTTTTTTTAACTTGTCAATCATCCTCACGTGTCTCTCTTGGAGTGCGATTGATTGTTTAGTGTGTACTTCTGTTTTAAACTTGCACAAACTCAACGGCAGAATGTGATTCTAACTGTCCTGTGACACTTCCTGTTTCAGTATAATGTATAGAGAGATGTGTTTTTATGTGGTCTGGTGTAATAAACGTGTAAAAACAAGTCAGTGGTGTGCTTTGAGTCGACACCTTTGTGTGTAAGTCCTGCTTGTTGTTTTGGATGAATGACCCCCTCAGTGTTTACTTACACGTATACTGGTCCCTGAAGGCAGCACAGCATCTATGAAAAGACAGGTCTTCATTCAGATGGGATCATGTTCCAGCTCAGGCAGCGGTTATAGTCATCACATAGAAAAAGGAAATGTAACAGAGCTGCTGTACGGGCTTCAGTGTTCTGCTTTTATAGGAGTCCTCTTCACATTAAATTAACTCTATTTTTTTTTAATTAGTCAATTTATTGAACATGTTAAGAAAATACAAACACAAAAGAAAAAGAAAAAAACCAAAAAACTGGATCCTTAGTATTTTTAACGAGGATTAGGGTCACATTAAAAATAATGTTTTTTTTATTTCTAGATTAAACTCGTAAATTCATGAATTTATTCTCGTAAATTAACGAGTTCGAGAGAAACTAAAATAACGACTTTATTCTTTGAAAACTTTAAGAGTTCTACTTTGACCATTTTACAAGTTTAATCTCGTAAATTAACGTGTTTATTCTTGTAAATTTACAAGTTTAATCTCAAAAAGATCCTCCGTCGTAGGATCCATAGCGACAAATAAAAAACTCAAATAATAAAGTTCATGTTCAAAAGAGATAAGAAGAAGTTCAAAACTTTTCTGCTCCTACACCTTTTTATTTTTGTGCATTATTCACAGAAAAATCAAAATGTTTTCATCAATCAGTGTGTGATGTTGGACTTCATACAAACAAATTAATGTTTTAGACAAAACAACAACAAAAATAATGGGAACAGATTAACCAAGACCATCAGCCAATAGAAAAACAGAAAAACAGAAAGTCACTGCTCCAGCTCATATCTATTCAATATTTGATTCCTGAAGTTTTAGTTTAAATATAGTGTTGTATTTGTTCAGCTCGTCATCACAGTTGTTCCACAGACTAACATCTTTAGTTGTTACACAGTGAAGTTTGGCATTCGTTCTGATTGGTGGTTTCTTGAATATACAGGTTCCTCTAAACTTATGTTTAAATAACATACATTTAAAAAAGTAAGAAGACCCGTCTGCTGAATTTAACCTTTTTCTTCTAACACTCGTCAACTTGATGAATTTAGCTGGTCAACTACTGTAACACCCTATGTGAAGAGCAGTCGCTGACCATGTGTACCTGTGCCTCATCAGGTGATCAGAGGCTGCTATAGACGGTTGAGGTAAAAGGCTAAAAATGAAAATTATGAGTACGATAGCAATAAATAATAGATACATGTTTAAAACCGCTTAAGAATAGAGAATAACTGTTGAAAGAGGAGGGTACTAGTTCTTAATTAGTTAAATTAGCAAGGTCATAAAAAAATTGGGGCTCAATGGAAAAAAAAACATCCTGTTTCTTCTACTACAGCTGGTTACAAACTTCAGTAAACGGACCTAAAGATCGGCAGTTGATTAAAAAAATCAGAGAACGGCTTCAAAGAAACATTTGAAACAATATCCACAGTGAATATATATATCTGTATATATTTAATTTAAATGATCAATACACGCACACTTATTGATGTAAATACTGTAACTGACATCTTAATTGACCCATCTGTCACATAACTGCATTTTACTTCTCATGTTACTTCAGCATCTTTTGCACTCTTCACCACTGCACTGTTTCATATTTAGTCATGTAAATATTAGTCTTTTCTTATTCTGTTTATTGTTGATATTTAATGTTGTACCTGTACATAAGAGAGCACAGTTCACCAAAGTTAAATTCCTTGTGTGTGTAAACATACCTGGACAATAAATCTGATTCTGATTCACTTATTGAATAAATAATGCTGATAAGAGATGGGTTAGTAACGGTTTGCATTAAAACATTAGAAACATGACAGAGGGTATTATGAAGCTGCTCTTTCCTCAGAGGTTATGCACACTTTTTTTAAATGTTGTGAAGTGTCCTCTACAGAGTGGTCCTGATGTAGCATTCATTTATAAAGAAAAAAAAGTGTTTAATAATGAATCACTGGTTATATTTAGACCTTTCATCCACACGTTCATCCTCATTGTTAGTAACTTAGCACTCTGTACTCGAGAAAATGAACATTTCAAAGTGGCTGGGTGATTGTATGTTTGTGCTTGTAGAACAAATTTGAGATGATAAATGAATCACAGAGAGGACCTCGACTGTTCTTGTATCCCGTCCTGTCATTTACCCTCCACGGAGAAGCCCGTCCCTTCTTGGCTCTGGATTGGCTGTTTACGCTGGCAGGCCTGCATTTTCTCCTGCTGCCTGTGACAGCCATTAAAATTAGCTCACGCCGTGCCATAATGGTGAGCAGCTGTCACTGCGCAGACGAGAAGGCTAAAGTGCAGCATTACTGGAATGTGTTGGACTCGGGGAGAGGGGGGGGGATAATAGCAGGACCATCATTACTGTCTGGTAGAAGTCGTGCAGCCATTGTGTGACACCAATCAAACACTGCTGCTTCAGTATGCAGCAACTTCCTAAACAAAGCTTTTTATCAGCTGAGATTTACTTTGATGGTTTTTTAAACATGAGGAGAAAACATCTCACTTTATCAACCAAAAAAAAAAAAAAAAAACCTTTTCAGATTTGCCCGACTGGACAGAGTTCCAGGACAGTAACTGATTTTACTGCTCACTGCTTACCTCTTTTTAAATGTTTTGTCTTAAAGTCTTTAAATGTGATTTTTCACACTTAAATATAAATCAAGTCTATCCTCTGAAAATAACTCTGTGAGTCATGACTGTCTACAATGGGTGTAACACCCGAGTCCCACTGTCTGTGATGTTTTCAGAGTTTTCAGAGTCCTATCTTCACTTTGTTTACATCGCCAGGACGGCCGGCTGACTCCTCCCCTCGTGTATAAAAGTTGTTTAATTGAGGGACTAGAGAAAAGAAGAATAACATACTGTACTCACTGCTTAACTGTGTTTCTAGATCACGCTCATTTCAGGTAAATTTACATGCAGTGTGAAGATACCAGCATAATAAAGATCGCTAGCATTAGCATGCTAACACAAACAATGCAGCGCCAGTTGTTTTGGTTTCATGCTGGTGCTCAAGGGCGACATCTGCTGGATCAAAACATCACATATAAAGCCTTTAAGAAATATTGTGCTAGTGATGCAATGTAAGCCCTGTTTTTTTTATTTTTTATTTATTCTTTATATTCTTCAAAACTTTCTGAAAATCTTTAAAAAAAGGCAGGATCCTCTCCTACATACTGAATCATATTAAGACACCTGACATTTTCATTATTTATTTTATAAACACAACTTCAGATCATTGTATTGTATCGTATCTTCTCTTATCATAGAAACATTATGCTCAATGTAAATATTATTAACATTTTTAGGATGATTTGACTGAAGCAATGATCTGAAATATTAAAACATTTTAACTGAAATCTGTCCTTAACTGAAAAGGAAACAAAACATACTATGGATTAACATAAAAAATAACATTAGCATTATTAAACCAGCTAGAGGAGATGTTTTCAGGTTGCTGTCAAAGTTGTTGTGATTTGTGTCAGTACAGATATTGATCTCCTGTCCAAGTGCAGGCTCCTTTAAAGACTCACAGCAGCGTCTGTGGCGGCAAGAATCGACCACACAGAAAGTTTGTTGAGGTAGGGGGGTGGGGTGGGGTGGGGTGGGGGGCGGTGGAAGGTCCCTCCTCACTGTCATTCTTATAAATAAACATGCCCCCGTGATGACTGGCATGTGACTTCCTGTGTCTTGCGGCCAGATTTGAGTCTTTTGTAGTCACATGATGAACATCATAACTCTTGAGCGAGCACATGGAGAGAGATGGGGGAAAAAAAACACACAAAGTGGGCCTGGTGTCTGTCACACGATGCTGTGTGAACAGTGTGTGTGACAGACACCATGGAATATCCCACAGTAAGGCAATTCTTTTTTAAATGTTCTGGGTGAAGAGTTTTGTTTCAAACTGAGCTCAAACTTAAAAAAACAAAAACACACATCTGTGATATTCTTACTGAAAACGATCTAGCCTCTACACTTGTTTTGAGTTGACGCTGAACAAATAAAAACTGACTGATTGCAGCAGTCATCACTTCTCTCTTTTGACTGGAAATTATTAGCAGCATGCTGCTGACTCACTTTACCTAACAGGCTTGACACATGTTGGTTTGGTGATGTAGGCTGACAGCCCCCCTGTAAATCTTATGGAAACACAATTTTCTGTAAAAAGTGGACAACTTAACACTTCCATGCAGACTAATCTGAAATAATCTTGTATTGTGGTTGTGGAATTTTGTTATTTTTATTTTTTACGTTTTTATTTATTTACATATATTTGTATTATTTAATTTTTTATTATTATTAATAATATTATTAATAATAACAATAATAATAATAATAATAATAATAATAATAATAATAATAATAATAATAATAAATTTATTTATTTTATATTTTTTATTCCTGTATTTAATTTAACTTAATTATAATTTTTGTTTGTCAGGTCTGTTTTCTTTTTTTTTGTCTTGCACTGATAGTGTTACCCTAGTTGGGTATTGTTCTATATCATTTATTGTCTGGTATTGTACTGTTGTAAAAAAATTGAAAACAATAAAAATGTTGGTCATAAAAAGATTGATTGATTGATTGATTGATAGGTGTAATGTGGACATGGATCCATCTATATCCATCCTATCAGCTCATCAGTGTGAGCGCTCACAGTTCACTTATTGTATTAGTAACAACTGCTATGATGACATCTAATAGAGGCAGCTTTATCTCCTGCTGATGTCACAGACAGGTCAAACATTGAAATTCTTAACTTGACGTCAATATGGATGACAGATTTAGTTTAAATGTGTATCTACCTGTCAATGTTTAATTTTTCCTTGTTAATTGTTTAGCACCAATACACCAAGTCAAATTCCTTGTATGTCTAAATGTACTTGGCAATAAACCCCGATTCTGAGTCTGATGATTCCCTATCATCATAAACATGCGTCCTCTATTCAGAGCTAAATCAAAATGTTTATGGCAGTTTTATTCTTTCCTAGAGATAACCCATTGATCCAAATATGAGACACATCACCTGAATCGTCTGTTTTATTTAGATGAACTGCACATGTGTGATGATAAATAGGAAAAGTGAAACTACATGTAACTGAAACAAAGACTTTTTGTATTTGTAACCACAAACAAAAGGAGTAATGCACTTATTCTAAACTTTCTTTTTTTTTACATACAGTCTGACCACTCCTTTCTCATACCTCACCTTTTAGAAGTGTGTGAAACATAAATCATGATGTTTGATCAACCAAGAATAACTTTTTTTCATCATGGACAAGAAAAAAGATGTAACATTGCATTGTTAGGTTCTCCCTGTGAGCAGATGTTTGTTCCCTGCTCAGCATGTATTTATATGTTACTGTAAGTGACTCCTGCAACATGAGAGGAGGAATAAAAGGATGCTGAACCTCGGCATAAGGCAACGTTTTTCAAAATAAAGCCCTTAATTGTTTTTCTTTTTTCTTCCTTTTTGCTGCAAACTGATTGGTTGTAAACAGTGGGATGATTTTGTTTCCTCAGTCCAGCTGCCTGTCTGAGTCCCCCTTTTCTCACCCAACCCCCCCCCCCCCCCCCCCCCCTCCTCACCCCTCCCTTTGTGGTTGCAGTAGTTTGACTCCTACAGGCTGCTTGAGTCATGCTGGCTAACTGGCCTGGCATCCACCTTCACACAGACCACAGCCCGACTCAGTCTCGTCTCGTGAAGAGCAAACCAACTGGTGCAGCTTCTGTCAGAATCCTCTTGTGGAGCGTTAAATACACTCATACAGGGGCGACAGCTGGAGAGTACTGAGCTATTGTTTTGATCAATTCTGCAAGATTTACAGAGCTGCACAAGTCTGAAAAGGAACAAAGAAAAAAAAAAGTTCTTCAAATAATCAATCCACCTTTTAATTTTCTTTCTTTAAAGCGGCTAATTTAAAATTTAAAGGCTTTCTATGTGATTTTTCACACTTAAATATAAATCAAGTATCTCCTCTGAAAATAACTCTGTGAGTCATGACTGTCTACAATGGGTGTAACACCCGAGTCCCACTGTCTGTGATGTTTTCAGAGTTTTCAGAGTCCTATCTTCACTTTGTTTACATCGCCCGGACGGCCGGCTGACTCCTCCCCTCGTGTATAAAAGTTGTTTAATTGAGGGACTAGAGAAAAGAAGAATAACATACTGTACTCACTGCTTAACTGTGTTTCTAGATCACGCTCATTTCAGGTAAATTTACATGCAGTGTGAAGATACCAGCATAATAAAGATCGCTAGCATTAGCATGCTAACACAACAATGCAGAGAGAGTTGTTTTGGTTTCATGCTGGTGCTCAAGGGCGACATCTGCTGGATCAAAAGGCACATATAAAGCCTTTAAATACAATCTAAATATGTGAAGAAAGTAGAGCACCGAACTAAGATGTGACAATTTTTCTAAATATTAAAAGTGGAGGACGTATAGTGGATTTTTTAAATTAGCCTGTTGCCGTAAAAGTAGAGTCAGTTTAACATTTGCACATCATGTTTCAACAACACAGTGATTCAGTGGGTCTCCAGAAAAGAAATTCAAATACTGTGTGCTTCATATATCTGGCCTCACAGCTAGAAGAGCTGTCTGACCCTTCTTTTCATTGATGACTGTTTTTACACCACCAGCTGTTGGAAGTAGAACTCATCAGAGTTATTGTATAAAATGTGTGCAAAGAGCCTTTAAAGGTTTATATGAAGTGATACCAAAGAAAACACACTTGAGGCACACGCACTAAAAAAAGTCAAACGTCCCCGTCCTTCAGAGTGTAATCACACAGTTGGCTCTCCTCCTCTGTCCTGATCTGTCTGATCGGAGTCATCCAATCAGCTCTGTCATCATCACCACAGTTAAACCTTCTGCCACTGCTGGGAGGAGGGCGAGCCGATCTGCAGGCCAGCGAAGAACACCTGGTACCGGTGCTTCCACATGATGAAGGCTCCCACGGCGCAGACCAGGGCCTGGACCAGATTCAGCACGATCTGTATCAGGAAGTAGAGCGTGAGGGTCTCTGTGATCTCCCCGCAGTCGCTCACTCCCTCGTAGGTGAAGGTGCGGGCGATGGGGTCACTCGGGTCCAGTTTGCACGCGCAGTCCTCCCCGTCCCGCTCGCAGCTGAGGCTGCTGGTCTGAGTGTAGTGGTGTCCGGCGAACGCCACGACCAGCACGGAGATGACCAGGCCGATTGTGCACAGGATGAAGTACAGGAGCTGCAGCAGAAACAGGAAGGGTCAAAGGTCATACATCTAAAAACTCTTTGTTTTTGAACCTCTGTGTGTGTTGTCTCAGAGAGCCAAAAGTGGAGCCCTGTGGCTCAGAGCCTATAGCAGGTTAACGAGATTACCCACAATACTACAGGGTGAGGTCTGGCCTGGCACACTCACACACACACACACACACACACACACACACACTCACACACACATGCATGTCTGCCCTGCAGTTACAGCCGCTCCTGCCTCCAGCGCTCATCCTGTGTGAGTCTAAAAATACAGTTTTTAAAATGTGACAGAAGCTTTGTGTTGTTTATGCAACTGCAACAATTTCACTAACACTAAACCTTTCTCTTTAATCCATCGCTTATATAAGAAGCTCATTCCCCTGATGTGTCTTTCTGCTCTCAGTTACATGCCGCTTATGGAATTATGCAACTGATGATGAGCGGGGTTTGATTCTGAGAGAGCACTGATGTTAATTTTGGAACAGCTGTGAAATCTGGAGTGTGGATGGTTAACACGGACGCCAACAGGTTCTCCACTGAACGGAGAATATTGTCACTGAATGGAGATGATGTGGAACCCCAAAGCAGGCAGAAAGAAAGTCCACTTTTATATTGTTGCTGATAAAAGTCCATGTGTTGTGCTGGGACACTTACACACTCAAAGAATCCATCTTCTGAGAAACCAAACAAAAGCATCTCGCCCCAATAAGTTTACATTTGAAAGGGGTGGGTCACTGGTGGCGCAGTGGTGCAGTGGTTAGTGCGCACGCCCCATGTATGGAGGCTATAGTCCTCCAAGCGGGCGGCCCAGGTTCAAATCCCACCTGTGGCTCCTTTCCTGCATGTAATTTCCTCTCTCCTCCCTGATTTCTGACTCTATCCACTGTCCTCTCTCTCCATTAAAAATAAATAAATAATAATAAAAACATTTGAAAGGGTTATTGGGGAGCCGCCCTCAGCTGACAACTGTTTTACTTCTAAGTGACTCCACTTATTTTTTATTCACTTAGGCTTCCTCGCCTTGCACCGAGGTTAATTGGAACAAATAAACACATTTTTTAAGCTATAAATACAAAAAGTCGATACAGTAGGCCCATGGGGTCATTGAGCTGTTCAAATGAAAGGCTCTAATAAATTTAACTGGCTTGTTTTAGTGCCAGAGAAAAGACACACTGCAGGGTAATTTCATTATTGGCAAACAGTTTTTGGGAGGTTCTAACAGTTATTATGGATGACAAACTGAGGGAAAAGGTATAAAAAGCTGCAAGAACAACTTTGAGGAGTTGGAAAATTATCCTACAGAAGTCGAGAAAAAAGCAGATTTAGCGCAGTGTGACATAACGCTGTCAGAGAAATATGCATCATTTTGATGACGACGTCTTTAATGTTAGCAGTCTGCTTTGTAAACATTGTTTATCAGGATGGGAAAGCCTGTAATTTTGGTGTTTCAGACAGTCTGATGGGATTTTAAATCACACAATGCAGACACACCGGGATTGGCCTTTTTTCATCAGGCATTTCTGCAAAGATGATTTTTTTTTGCAATTTAGCAGCACCTCTTCAGGCAAACCCCCGTCGGAGTGCTTTCACAGAGAGCGTCCATCTTTGAACCTGTATGCACATTTAACTTAGACCCCAAAAAACTGATTCCAACGAGCTGCTTTTCAATGACAAACAACTGTGGAGGGATTTTTAATTGCCTTAAGACTCCGACTGTGTGTACTGTACAGCTAATTAAGCTGCACAATCAAGACATTAATGAATGTGCTCATCCACTCATAAGAGTCCCTGAAGAGCTCACAGTTTAATGCCTTTCTCTCGAAATGCCATTTACGCAGACAGATGTAAAACAATCATCTCAGTGAGTAAAAACTTTGTTTTCTGCAACAAAGTGTCACATCTGTCACGATGAAATATACATATATATATATATATATTCTTTAATTTAAATAATCAATACACGCACACTTATTGATGTAAATACTGTAATTGACATCTTAATTGACCCATCTGTCACATAACTGCATTTTACTTCTCATGTTACTTCAGCATCTTTTGCACTATTCACCACTGCACTGTTTCATATTTAGTCATGTAAATATTAGTATTTTCTTATTCTGTTTATTGTTGATATTTAATGTTGTACCTGTACATAAGAGAGCACAGTTCACCAAAGTTAAATTCCTTGTGTGTGTAAACATACCTGGACAATAAATCTGATTCTGATTCTGAAGTTCTCTTTTTGGAAAATACACTCTGAGACGTCCCATCCACCCTATTACTCTGGTTAATTTAAAAAGAGAACCTACAAAGAAGACATGGTAGATCATAGCAAAGAAACTGATTCTGTTCATGCATGTGTGCAGACTCACCTTGCCGATGAACTGCATGGACGTCCTCTCATCGGGCAGGTAGGTGGTGCAGTACAGGATGAAGCCGACGATAGAAACTAAACACAGCTGCAACATAACAAAATGTTTGGTTTGGTTAAATCATTGTTATTACACATTTACCACTGTCATCACTGTTTCTACAAACTTACATCTCTCACCTCCAGAAAGTATTTTTACATTCAGTTGACAAGCCTGAATAAATGTTGTATTTCATTTTTTTTTTAAACCAGTAGGAATGTTAAGTTAAAGCCTTGATGTATAAATCTCTTCTTATTCTTAAGTGCTTATTTATATATCTATTCTTATATTGTTTTATTTGCTCTGATAACCTGCTGCTGTAATATCACAACTTCCCAGTTTGGGATCAATGAAGTCATTCTATTCTATTCTATTCACATCAGGACATATAGCATTCAGAACATGTCAACAGAATACTCATTTTGCTGAGTCATGCACTGTTTGTACCTTTACTGCTCATGTATGATTTTAGTGATTTACTGTATTATTTATTTGATGTGAACTTTGTTTGCTCTTAAAAACAGTCTAGAAAAAAGAAACCCTGTTCTTTAAAATGAGTTTCACTTTTCAGGGCTGTTTCCCTGTATTGTATGATTCAGCAGTAAGCTGTCATCTGATTACATTACTCCCTCTCTCTCTCACACACACACACACACACACACACACACACACGGACACACTCACACACACACACACACTCACACACACACACACACACACACACACACACACACACACACACACACACGGACACACTCACACTCTATCTCTTCAGTGCAATTGGAGTCTTGTGACTAACGTGCGGCATCATATTTAAATGTTTTTCCCAGGTTCTTAAGCGCTCTGGAAAGTTCTCGATGACCTCAGTGTTTTTCACTCGGCTGCATCTCGTGAGGATCTAACTCGGGATGTTGATGTCTTTGGGATGTTTTTTTGAGAGAAGATGAGGTCTGTGATAGGCTACAGTAGGATGCTAAACAGCAACAACATGTTTTTCTGCCCAATCGCCAAAATGTGACCTGAAATCTTTTTTTTAATGAAGTTGAAGGTTATGATGCAACTCAGTGGTGATGTAAAAAAAAAAAGGTAAGGAAGGAGTGTTATCCAGCTGTCTCATTAACGTGCATGCTGATACTTTAGATGTCTTTTAAAGACATGGGCGGTTCTAGGCAGGGGCCAACAGGGGCCAGTGTCCCTCTAACACTGAGCTTGGCCCCCACTGTGCCCACCCCTCCAAAAGGAAGAACCCCCCCCCCCAATAACACATACACAGTATTTGACTCACAATCTAGTATTAAATTCTGTTACTGAAACAAATATAAATCATGGTATTTAATGATGTGTGCTATTATTATAATATATATTTATTTTTAAAGTGATCATCTTTGTTTATTTTTCACCTGGGTTTAATGTTCTTCTCTTTAATGGTCTAGAACCCCCACTGTTTAAATGGCTTAATTGTTTGCAGGTAAAATGAATCTTTAATCCTCAAATTGGCCTTCAGAGCATAAATGTCACCTTCCGATTCTTTGGCTATTTTGACTGAATTTTATTTTAACTTTCATTCTGTCTTCTTTCATAAACTCAAACTTACACTTCAGATGTTTTTGTGACATTAAAGTTCTTCCAATGTTTTAGACTTAAGACCTTTTCATACTGTAATTCCGCAACATCATCTAAAGGAAGCTCCGCCTCCTTACGCCTTAGGACGTTCACACTGAATCTGCAGCGGTGTCATACTGGTGTCTGTGACATCACATTGCCTCGCCACGTTGCAGAGCACTGCACAGCGGGACCTCCACATAAACACACCGCAGAAAATCAAAGGGACATAAATATCACGCCTTTAAAGCAGCAGTCTGAAACGAGCTATAGAATAGAATAATGGAGATGCTGCAATCGTTGCGCCGGCTCCGCAGTTTACAGAGTCGCCATTTTGCCCCCCGTTACACAGCTGTTACTACTTTGAACTTCAGCCCTCTGTTTTGTCTCTGTAACTCTTAAAACAGACACAACAGTGTAACGCTGGTGTCACAGGACAGTCTGAATGTGTTGTGTAAAAGGAGCTTCTGTCTTCAGCTTGTCTTTTGCTCAACTCAAACTGACAACTTCTTTCTGGCCTGAAACTTGATACAAGTGATTAAAGAGATCCTTCACCTGTTGAAACATGAATCTGTGTTGACTTTGGGTCATATATGTAGAAATGTGAAATACATTTTGAAGTTGGAGCCTTCTTGGCCGAGAAAAGGCAGAAAGTGTCTTTTTGGCTCATGTTGATGAAAGACACCAAATCCCAGAATGCACAGCACTGCAGGCCACTCCCATTAAGGTCCTCTAGTTCAGAATCAGAATCAGAAATACTTTATTAAGTGGTGACGCAACAATCGTAATTTTAGCGTCACTGGAAGCTCCTTTACAGACTCAGAAATACAAAGATTTCACATCTCAGGGGAAAATGAGGGCGGGATGCACGAGCATTCAAAAACACTACCAGGTTTCTAATGATACAAAGATTAATGCTAATGGGTGAAGTGTCCCTTTAAATATCAATGAAACTTCAGCCTCTTTTAACTCTTACGCTGCAGCTGTTATGAAATGTTTCACCCCTACTGTCAATTCAACCGGGGTCTGTGATTACAAACATACAGATTACTAACTGTCCTATCTAGAGATAGATAGATAGATAGATAGACAGATAGAGAGAGAGATAGAGAGATAGATAGATAGAGATAGAGAGATAGATAGATAGATAGAGAGATAGAGAGATAGATAGATAGATAGATAGATAGATAGATAGATAGATAGATAGATAGATAGATAGATAGATAGATAGACAGATAGATAGATAGATAGATAGATAGATAGATAGATAGATAGATAGATAGATAGATAGATAGACAGATAGATAGATAGATAGATAGATAGATAGATAGATAGAGATAGAGAGATAGATAGATAGATAGAGAGATAGAGAGATAGATAGATAGATAGATAGATAGATAGATAGATAGATAGATAGATAGATAGATAGATAGATAGATAGATAGAGAGATAGAGAGATAGATAGATAGATAGATAGATAGATAGATAGATAGATAGATAGATAGATAGAGAGATAGAGAGATAGATAGATAGAGAGATAGATAGATAGATAGATAGATAGATAGATAGATAGATAGATAGATAGTTTATTGATCCTGAGGGAAATTCAAATCATCCAGTATCAGGTATAACCTGAATAAAAGATGTAAAGAATCCCTCTAGATGAATCAAACTTAAACTGTGCAGTTAAAAATAGACTTATACAAGAAATGTACATAACCTGTGCAGGGATAAAAATATATGTGACATTTAAACAAGAACCTATAAACAGGTGAGGAAAATAAAATCTGTAATTAGACCTGAATATAAAAAAATAAAAAAGTGTTGACCTTCTGAAGTTGTGTTGTTTATGTATGTACAGCAATGTTTAAAAAGAAGATATTAGAAACAGACATTAAATAACAGTCAGTGCAAACATTAAAGGTGAGGCTGACTCTTGGTACAGCTGTGCAGACAGCACCTCCATTTAAAATGATTATTGACAGAGTTCACATTTTCAGACAGTCAGTTCAGAAAGTGTTCCACAAATGGAGCTGACTGAACTGCAGCTTGTCTTGTACTGTCTGCACAGTAGATATATAACTTTTGGATGTGTGATGCATTGACTGTATGTGTCATATTTCAAGAATCATGAGCAGTAAAGTACATCACATTTAGAAATAGTCACCAGGGTTTGCAGGCTGTGATTGGCTTGCTTGTCTCATCAGGTCAGGTGTAAAGGATCATGTAGTCACAGTCACAACATAAGGAGCATGCAGTCTTGTGTGACTTTGTCAATTCTTTATTCAGGACTATGACAGATGGAGAAGTGTTAGAAGAAGACTGTCCTGGTGTCACATCGGGGTTAGGGTTCAGTGTTGACATGCAATATGCTGACGATGACATATTGAATATATCTGAGGGTCATGCGGGGTCAGTCTCAGGCTCCATGCAAACATGTGGATGTTGAGAGGAGGTTAAGAACGGAGCTTACAATGATCCCAGCCCAGTGTGGGGTCTCCCTGGCCAGGAGCGAGGGGCTGATGGCCAACATGAGGAACGCCACGGCTGCCACGGACACCCCCAGCAGCAGCTGGAGCAGGGCGACGAGCAGAGGGAAGCGACAGAATCTGCACTTTTTGATGTCGTCCGGCGCCGGGCTCTCATCTCTCCTCTTCTTGCCCTCCTTCTTCTCTTTCTGCCCCATTTCTCCTTTTTTTTCTTCTTTCTCTGTAAAACTTTTACTGTGACAGTGTTTTGGGTGGATCAGCCCGTCTGCCTGTCTGCTCCTCTCCCTGTCCCGTCCCCCCTCCCCTCCCCCGCTAAGGCCTTCCCCTCACCATAAGTCCTGCTCCGCTGCTATTTGGAAACAGAGACGCCTCTGAACTAATATGGAAAACATTTGGACTGGATTCCTAAAGCATCTCCAGTGCCACATATAGAGCAGGCAGCAAAACTGTGGAGGAGAGGAAGAGGAGGGAAAGGGGGAGGGGGGCAGGTAGACCCAAAGGGGGGACTCCTACGTACGACCGTGACATGTTTTCACTTTTTAGTGAAATTAAAGACTAAAAAAGAGGGAAAGTGCAGAGGCGAGTAAGCAGGTACGAGTTAATAATAATCCAGCACGGAGGAGGTCACACTTCATCTGAGAGACGGTGTGATTGGATCGTTCTTTGTCAGCACTGTTACACAAGAGAGCCATATGCTGCCAGCCAGAAAGAGTCACATGACTAACAGGAAGAAGTAATGTGATCATAAGGCATGTGAGGGCTACAGGGGCTCAGATTGTTTCTCAGTTTATGTTTACAGGAGGAGAGCAGGTGTCACTGAGAATGAGACAAACCTCCTGGAGACTTTTAAAAGAAAAATGAAAAACATGTTTTTAAATAAATAAATAAAAAGAAGCTAAAAAAAGGTTGTGACTTTAAATGATTTGATTCATATTTGGAAGTAAAGATCACAGAAAAGTCAAAGTTGATGCCTTGTTTGCCTTGTCTGTATCTTATCATCAGGTGAAGGTGGGAGAGCAGCAGCACCCATGCTAAGGTTCATAAAGAAACCGCGCGACGCACGTGTCTGAGCACACAGCTGGGCCGGTGCCATGGTTACTGACAACGCAGCTCTGTGCTGTGCTGGAGATGAAGTGTGAATAGGTAACCCTGCCCTGCTCAGGACAACAACACGGACTGAAAAGAGAATGGGGGAAATGGTTCCCCGTGTTTACCACATTCACTTCTGTGTTTTCATTTTTACATCAGCATGATTGTTTCTTCATGAACACGAGGAAAACGTATTTTCATGTATAAGTATATATACATATACAATATATTTTTATATATAAAAATAAAAAATAAAATAATTATAATAATAAAAATAAAAATATATATACTTTTTTCATTTATATATAAAAATATTTTGTATAAAATTTTGTAAAAATATTTTTATATATAATTTTGTACAACAACATTAAGTACATTTCTGTTCCCTCTAAACTGTGAGCAAGAAAGCTCGTTGATTAATGTCAAATTATGCAGCATTACAACCTTTTCGGACAATTGCAAAGTGAAGGGGCTTGATTTGCAAAGTTTTAGAGCCAAGGCAAAAAAAAAAAAGAAAAAGGATGCAGGATAAGAATGCGTAATTGGTTCAGTCTCTCCCTCTGCCACATTTTGCAGCATGAATCACGTTTCAGCCACCAGGTCGAAAAGTGTTTGGACTACATCACTATAGGAACAGCGCGCGATAGCTGCTATTACACACACAGAAGGTCTAATTACCGGACTTTGTGCTGGTGTAGGCTACACGTGAGTCGGAAGCTGTTCCCCACCGGAGGCGCGCCTGCGCACTGGCGGCTTTGCGAAGTTGCAGCTCAGGGAACTCTAGACATCAGTGTGAAGCCTCAGCTCCAATTGGAGGACACGCACTGTGCATCATCTCTCCCTCAGCACATCCATCCCGTCTGTGGCTCGTTGGAATAACAAACATTCCCCCCAAAAGAGGTTCGAGAGCGGATAAGCAGACCAGGAGAGAGGTGATGGATGAGAGAAAGACCAGGAGAGAGGTGATGGATGAGAGAATACCGCATTTACAGGAGAGGCAGTTCATGGAGCACGCCGATTTCTTGGGGTGAGTGTCGCTTTTTTTTTTTTTTTTTTAGCAAACTCTGACAAACTCTCATAAACTGTCATGTCAGCCTTGTGAATAATCGGACGCTTCCCTCTCTTCTTCAGGGTGGATTATCCCTCCCTGTACATGTGCAAATCCAAAAGAGGAATAAAGCGAGAGGATGGTGGGAAGGTGCGCGTACTGACTTATTCTAAGAAAATGACAATGCTTTGTTTCCCTTCACTGACATTATTGTGTTTGTGAAATTTAATATAATTGAATGGGATAATAAAGTTTTTGCTTACATAAGAGAGCATCACAGTAAAACGTGTGTGTTGTGTGTGTGCCAGCAGGACGCGTACAAGTTACCTCACCGGTTGATAGAGAAGAAAAGAAGAGACAGAATCAACGAATGTATCGGCCAGCTGAAGGATTTATTACCCGAACATCTGAAGCTGTCGGTAAGATCATGAAACCACTAAAAAAAGTTTGGACCCTGCGTTAGGAAAATTTGGTTTGCTAGATCTTTTGAACCTTAACTGTGTTTTTCTGTGTAGACTCTGGGGCATTTAGAGAAAGCCGTGGTCCTGGAGTTAACACTGAAACATCTGAACGCACTGACTGCTGTCACCGAGCAGCAGCACCAGAAGATCATCGCTCTGCAGAACGGTAAGAGATGAACAGGAGTGCATGTTTTAAATCAGAGACTTGTTCTCTTTCTGTAAGATTAAGTTGCATTTTTATTTGCTTGGCTTGCATAAAACTTTGTTGCCTGTTTGCAATGGTAGAAAATGCATTCTAACATAACAATGCATTTTAAAAAAAGCATTAAAACAGAATAATTACAATGCTGTTTTATCACATTTGGTGTAACAATAAACAGAACAATCATTATTTCTTAATCTCGTGTTTCTCAGGGGACCGGTCGTTAAAATCCTCCATCCACGCAGACCTGGACGCGTTCCACTCCGGGTTCCAGACCTGTGCCAAAGAGGTCCTGCAGTACCTGAGTCAGTTTGAGAACTGGGCGACGCGGGAGCAGAGGTGCGCGCAGCTCATCGGTCACCTCCACACGGCGCTGGCTCAGTTCCATCCCGGTGCGCCGCCGCCGCCGCCGCCGCTGCCGCTCCAGCAGCACCAGACCCCCGCGGGGGGGGACTCACAGAGCGGGCAGAGGGCAGACAACAACAGCCAAGCGAACTGCGTCCCGGTCATCCAGAGGACCCAGGTGGGGGGGGAGCTTAACGAGAATGACACGGACACGGACAGTGGATACGGGGGCGAGGCGGAAAAGAGCGAGGCGAAAGACAAAGAGTGTGAGCAGCGCGACAAGGCGCAGCAGCAGCAGCAGCAGCAGGGACACAAAGCTGTGAAAATCAAGCAGGAGTTTGGAGATGACCGCGCTGCCAAGAAACCAAAGATGAACTGGAGTGGGAGCGGGGTGGGCGGCGCTGACCTCACCAGACCAGACCTGGCGTTTATGAACTCTCTAATGGGAATAAGCAGTATGGGACAGCAGACGCCTATTTGCATGCCTTTCTACTTCATCAACCCCTCTGCCGCGGCGTCCTACATGCCTTTTTTAGACAAGAACAACATTGAGAAGTACATGTACCCCGCGGCCGCCGCTCTCGGGTCTCCTTTCCCCTGGCTGTACCCCGCACACGCTGCCGCCGCCGCCGCTGCCGCTGCCGCGTTCCCCGGCCTGTCTGCACACTTTGGAGCCTCCTCTCAGTCCAAGGACTCCCAGAGTCCAGACAGCGACGAGTCACGGGAGGATGAGACGGACTCACCTGAGGAGGACGACGGGGAGGGTGACGTAGCTGATCTGTCTCTGGAGAGCAACAACAGTCCGCAGGATCAGCTGTCTGCGTGTCCAACGAGCTAAAGTGTGTTTTACCTTTCCGTGCATTCTGCTGAGGTGTTTATTTTTTAAATTAGGTTTAAAGGAGGACTCACTGAGGGGTCTCTCATGTACAAAAAGCGTGTGCGTAAAGGGGACAGTTGTGACGTGCCTTTTGCACTTATTCTAGTTTAATCAAGCTAAATAATTATCGACAATGATTGACATGAACTCACAGCTGTGTTGAGCTGAGGGGTTTGGGTTTTTTTAATCGTCTTTGATAAAAAAAAAATATTTTGAATTGGCAGCAATTGGTGCCAAAAACTTTTGAGAACATCATCAGTTCTCCAATCAGCGAGCCTCTTTTGGATGTATGACGTTGCAAACTGACCTCTGCCAAGGTTAAGTTAGAGCCCGACTTAACTCTGACTGTAAATACAGGCTGGTTCATGAACATGCAAAACGTGCACTAACTGGGCCTGTTAACAAGTGCAACAATCCACAGTACCTCATCCCCCATTGGGAGGCACTTTGTCCCTCCTGAGAAGAATTGAATAGTTCCCCCCCTTCCAGAAAACACAAACACGCCTGAAAAAGAAATACAAAAATCAGACACTTTAGCAATTACACATTTATAACAAGAGATGATAGGAGAGACACTTTGTTGACGCCTGAGTTGACTCTGGTTCCCTTTAGCCTACTGGTTTGGTCTTGTGAGGCAGGAATCACTGAAGTCCTGCAGAGTAATGGAAAGGAAGAAAAGAGGGCTGCAGCTCAGAGGTGAAGGGACCTGTGACTCCTGTACCTCCGGGATGAAGCGTTGTAGGATAGCACCTTATACATCTTTAATATTGAATGTACCTGTCATTTCCCAGCTGTTGAAGTTTGTACATGTAGGACGATCTTTACTCTTGAGACGTAAAGTGCACTTTTTCTGTCTCCCTCCCCTCCCCCACACCGTTACCATTTAATTTGTAAGAAGTCAATCACTGGAGTTCTGGTTGAACCTTTTTTACTATGTTGAGTTAAATAAAATGATGATTCCATTTCAACAGAGCGCAGAGATACAACATTTTCTAAGTAAAAGCCCACTGCTTGTTTCCAGCTCTTAAAAAGTAAAAGGAAATAGATTTGAGATTGTCAGACTATCCACCTATCTGTGTTGTGTAAACCCCTCACTTCTTTACTTTGGAAAAGGTGGGAACCACAAGTTCTGAATATTGTTGTTTTAGGACTTCTGACTTTTTTGTCTCGGCCTATTTTTTTTTTTCCTCCAAGAGATTAATTCCTGCAAGTGTTGTGTTTTTCAGCTTCCACATGTGACTGACTAAACAGAAGATTTTCATTGTATTTTGCATACATGACATTGCTTTAGTAAAACTATTCTGCTGATTTTTTTGCCTCAAATCTGTTCTATGAAGTGGCATGTGCATCTGTAAATACGTTTTTTTTGTGAATATACCATGAAGTATACATGTCTATTTCAGTGTTGTAGAAGTCTATGGATTTTTTTAAAGAAAAGATTTAACTGAGCAACTGTTGCACATTTCATTAATGCGTTACACATGCTGTTCTAAATTATTGCTGATGAGTTGAAAAATAAATATCAAAACAAACTTTTGCAAGCTTTTTTATTTAACCCCAAACTCTGCTCACAGTCTCACTCGTCGGTGAACGCAGGAGTGCTTCAGTAAGTATTTGTGAAACTCTTGCAACATATCGCCTGCATGTGTAATCTTAAGGTCACGGTGAACACACACTGTAGCACACCATGTTATGTATGCACAGATAAAAAAGGAGCCATGCTATAACAGCCTGAATAGAGAAAGGAAACGTGAGGTCCAGTAAATGAAACATACTGTTACTAAAACTGTAAATCAGCTGACAGGTCACAGCAGAAGAATGTACAGTAAGCCCAGGCTTTAAACAAATGTCATGTGATAAAAGGATGATGAAGTGAGATTACAGTCTGACTGTACAGGCGGATGAAAAACAAGGGGCCACCTCCCAACTTGTCAAAAGCTTTGAGCATGAGCAAATCCTGCCTTTGTTATTGCCACTAGCTAATTTGGTGCCATATTTTAATTTAGTCCATATGACTAAATGTTTGAGTTTATGCTTTTTAGTTTAAGTCATTAAAGTAATACTGACATGGAGAAACCATTTTCTGTCTTTTAAGGGAATGGACATGAAAGCTGCCAGAAGTTGCAGAAAAAGGACCTAGGCCTTCTATATTTGCAAAAAGTTTGTATTATTTCTAAGCTCAGATTACACTAATGTTCTGTAAGTATCTTTAACCAGCACTGGGAGTCACTTTAAAACGTTAAGCTGTTGGATTTTCACATTTCACCAGAAAAAAACTCCTCTCTAAAACTTGTGTGAATCGTACACGTTGACATGAATTTACTGCACCTCCCCACGTTGTGTTCAAGTTCAACATCCCTGAGTGGAGGTCTCCATCTAGTGGTCAGAAGATGAAAAACAGTTGAGGCATAAAGTGTCCAAATTCTCTCTTAAAATAAAAAAAAGAAAGAAGCTACAGTTACCACATGCACCGTGACAAATCTCATTTAGTCAGATGGTTTATTGAATCATGCAATCAAAGTCATATCAGCAGCCAGATACAGCCATACATCAGTCAACACTTTGCAGTATATTAAGGCAGGAAACAATAAAAAAACAGGTTATGTACACTTCTACAAAACATACACGGTTGTAAACAGCGACCGCAGCTAACCTCTCATCCCAGGGTGGATAATGCACACCAGTGGTTTCTTAAAGGGACAACACACCCAAATACACTGAAAATGAAAACAGGATCTCCTTTAATGGGACATCAGGAAGACGCCCTGTCCTCTTTGTAGAGACTGAATGCTACAGGCTGAACGTCTCTGCTCTATTTATTTCAAACTACAAACTCCTAAGTGACAGTATATTGTTGACTTAAAGTCTTTCTATGTGATTTTTTGATCCAGCAGATGTCGCCCTTGAGCACCAGCATGAAACCAAAACAACTCACGCTGCATTGTTGTGTTAGCATGCTAATGCTAGCGATCTTTATTATGCTGGTATCTTCACACTGCATGTAAATTGACCTGAAATGAGCGTGATCTAGAAACACAGTTAAGCAGTGAGTACAGTATGTTATTCTTCTTTTCTCTAGTCCCTCAATTAAACAACTTTTATACACGAGGGGAGGAGTCAGCCGGCCGTCCTGGCGATGTAAACAAAGTGAAGATAGGACTCTGAAAACTCTGAAAACATCACAGACAGTGGGACTCGGGTGTTACACCCATTGTAGACAGTCATGACTCACAGAGTTATTTTCAGAGGAGATACTTGATTTATATTTAAGTGTGAAACATCACATAGAAAGACTTTAAGTTTGCAGCATGATGAAATAAATCGGATTACATGTGAATGCGATTCACAGCACGTGTTACTATGACTACAGTAATAACAGTAGTAAAGTGTAAAGCACTATCACTAAGGGGTTTCTTTCTACAAAACACTAACAGGGAAAACATGTGGATAGCTTCCTCTTTGCTGCTGTGCTGTCATCATTTCATTCTGCATACACAACATTTCATCTAACCGGACTACAATCATCGCTTTTATGTCTCCACCTGGAGCTTCACTGTACATTCTTACAACAATGGCGGAATGACTATAAGGCACTTTGATGTGATTAGCAGCTGAACTACAACCTTAAGAGGGGCTTCATACCTTGGCTGCTCTGCACAAACAGCTGTAGCTATCCACTGGATTATGACATGCCACCATTTTGACAATAAACTCATTAATTCACTGTACCAAGCGGGGCCCTGCACAGATATATGGCTATAAGAACACCACAATCATCATGCAACAAGACCTGCGATTCTTTGGCCACTGATCCTTTCAAAAAAACAAGCATAATATATTTGGCAAAAAAATATACTGTGTAGTCATCTTATAACACAAACAAAAAAACAGCTTAAAAGTATAATTAACACTGTTTCATGATGCAGATATTTCTGCAGGAATGAGGCCACTCCTTCATTGTTGTTTGCTGTGAATACGCAGCCTTGTAATAATATATAATAATTCACTGAATAAAGATGAAAAGTAAGAAAACATATTTACAGTATCCATCATTTTGGTGCGTACAGTAACATTCTTTAGTAACAAAAACCATTACCATTTGTGCATAGTTTTTAACATGAACACAGACAGAGCTACAGGAATACGTTCTGATATGCAAAATGATTAATTGGGGAAACAGTTCTACTACAGACACAAGTCGATCCTTCATTACTTCAATAAGAACTAGTTGTTATGCTGGGTTAAGATTTGTTCATTCAGAAATCACATTCGATCTTTAAGAGATACAGAGTCACATACTGAGATTCTCAATGATGCTTTTGAAAAAGGCATTCGGTTTGAATCATGATGCTAGAGAGAGGAAACAATACAAACCATTCAGCAGGTAGTAAAGTGAGAGTACATTAAGTGGATATGTTTTATAAAGAAAGTCCACAGCAGCTTGAAGATAAGAAAGTCCTGATGTTATATTCAGGCTGCTTCTTTTTTTCATGCTTCAAACCGCCGTGCATTTCTACCTCCATGACTTTGTTCACTTCACTGTTTGAGTCTGTTCACTCGAGGCTGCCTTCATGTAATCAAGACAACAGTGCATAGTAGTGTGCTACTGAGGTATCCACTCACACGTAGATCCCCTCTGGGTTCAGGCCTGAACTGAGAGGACTGTGGAGCACCCGCAGGTGACTGGACATGGCGTGTGATGACACGGGACGCTTCAGGGAGCCGGACAGGGGAACCAAATCTGTGAATGGAAAACACAAACATTAGAAAAACATTTAAGAATTGCAATAAAGATAAAGTCAGATTTACTTTGTAAAAAAATATATTTTCAAATCATTTTCACTGAATGCTCTTATGAACTACAGCGAGTTTCTGTAAAAGAATGCCTCTGCAGAGGAGCCACCAGGGGGCAGTACAGAGCTGTTCAGATCATGCCTCTGCAGAGGAGCCACCAGGGGGCAGTACAGAGCTGTTCAGATCATGCCTCTGCAGAGGAGCCACCAGGGGGCAGTACAGAGCTGTTCAGATCATGCCTCTGCAGAGGAGCCACCAGGGGGCAGTACAGAGCTGTTCAGATCATGCCTCTGCAGAGGAGCCACCAGGGGGCAGTACAGAGCTGTTCAGATCATGCTGATGATGCAGTGAATTTAAGGCTTGGCATAAAAGTGCTTGCTGATTTTTTTTTTTCCCCACAAAAACTGGAAGGTTACTAGAAGGACATGAACACTCAAGTCATTATTTTTCACACTTGTAATCCATCCAGTTTAATAATTAAACCCACAGCTCTACAGCGTGCCATGATGAAGTACACACCACACAATCAGAACGTGATCGAGGCCGTTTAAAGAGTATGATAAAAGCAGGCGTTCAATATTAACCATCACTGTATATGCTACCACTTTTAAAGAAGAGGAGACATGATTGAACATTTGATCAAATTGCAGTTAAGCATCTCCAGACTGAGACTGAAGGACAGTTAAGAGCATCACTGAACTGAACAAAATCAAACACTGACCCACCATGGGACAAATAGTGCAATATTGCTTTGACCTGCTTTGTTTACACATTTCATTACAAACCAATGATGATTGTGTGTTTGGATATTTTCTACTGTACTTGTGTAGGCATATATATATATATATATACACACACACACACATACATGTGTGTATATGTATATATGTGTTTTTATTCTATATATTTATATTTTTATGTTTCAGGCATGGCACAGCAAATTTCATTGTACTCTTGTGCAATGACAATAAAGTATATTCTATTCTAAATCTAAAATCTGTAACAATAATTCTTCATTTTTTTAATTAGCGTTAACTTACTGTTTTTTAAATTAATTAATACATTTTTTGAAGATTTATTTTGGTATTTTTTGTGCCTTTTATGTAGAGATAAGACAGTGGATAGAGCTGGAAATCAGGGAGAGAGAGAGTGGGGAGTGAAATGCGGGAAAGGAGCTACAGGCCGGACTCGAACCCAGGCCGCCCCCGCTCTGAGGACCACAGCCTCCGTACATGGGGTGCGCGCACCAACCACTGCACCACCAACGCCCCAAGTTACCGTTTTTTGAGACAGTGGGCATGAATATGTTTAAAAAATGTCTTTATATTTGCCTGACAATAGAGGGTAAACCGAGTAGTCATACTTGTGTATTTGAATTTAAATATCAAGTTTTGGGCGTGCAGACGTATCCTCTAAGTACGCTCACTTTATAAACTTTCTTTTATAAGCTGGCAGTAACGTCCCTGGTTACAACATTTAAAACAGCTGCTTCACACTTACCACAAAGTCTTTGTAAGTCAAACTTTTAGCCTCTGATTTGGGTGTAAGTTCTCTATATTTTTAAGGTTTTAAAATAAGACAGCTGGCCCAAAAGTTGATGTAGATCGCCTTTCTTGCTTTGTGACAGCTCTCACATAAATCAAGATCTCTCACTTTATGTGTCAGCTCTCCTGTAGGAGGACAGAGCTTTGGTCCATTGAGCCCATCACAGAAACTGCTGAGCATGAGATAAGAGGGACAGAGTGATGGGAGGGAGAGGAGAGATACAGAAAGTCTGCTCAGTGAATGACGCCCTGGTCCGTTTGTATCCAGTCAGCTGCTGTGTGCATGGTGGGTACAGCCGCTACTGGAGATGGTTAAAGCTAATTCTGTTTCCCAAAATACTCCCGACTCCTCCCAGTATCCTCTGTCACAGTCTCTCTAATACACTAACAAGTGTTAATGCTTTTACTACCTCCACTCTTACCCATATCTACATTCTTCTCTGACCCTTTCAGACAGACCGGTGTTTGTCTGACTCAAAGAAGGAACCGTTCAAAATGTCTCCACTTTCCCTTGCCTTTCTCATTTCCAAGGTGTAAAATCTCAAATTGGTTCCAAAAAAAGATAGCTGTACAATCACACCTGCAGACACACACACACACACACACACACACACACACACACACACACACACACTGTTGTTGCCTTGAGCTGAGTCATTTTCAATCAGCAGGCGATCAAGATCCGAGATGGAAAACTAAGAAGTGCCCAGATGGAACAGTATAAATTCATGAATGCTCAGGCTGACTCAAGACAAACCGCACTTTATACACTTCATAAAAACAAGTCATGAGTCACCTGTGACAACAGGTTCAGTAACTTCCTGTTTCAACCATTTTAACAGAAAATGATAACTGGACATATAAAGGACTCTCTCTCCTTTTTTAAATCTCATCTCAAAACACATCTTTTTAAACTGGCATATTCAGTCTGATCATTCTCCACCCGGTCTCATAACTCCTTTACAGCCTGTACATTTGTGTTTTTAATGTTAATTTTATGGTTGTGTTGTTACTTTGTTGTTTTTATCTCCGCTCTGTGAGGTGACCTTGAGAGTTTTGAAAGGCGCCTTTAAATAAAATGTATTATTAGTATTATTAAAATGTATTATAAACAACTGTTTGTGACTCTTTTAAATATCAAGATGTTAAAGAAATTCCTTAAGAAACAAAAACAGATATTACCTATACCATAAGTGGTTGAAGTAGTTTCCTCCTCGGTGGGTTCAGCAGGCAGCACGGTGACCTTGGTGCCGGTCTGTTTGATGAACTGCTGCAGGTTCACTTGCCTCAGCTCCTTGGTCAGCTGCTCCAGCTCATGCTGCATGTCCTTCAATGAAACGGCACGAGAAAGTTATTCCTCAGCGAACAGGAAGGTGTTAGCAGGAATCTTAACACTGGCATCTACAGCTACCAGACGCTGTTCACGCTGATGTTCAGACACTTGGGATACATTTTAACCCTCAGGCATCAGTTTCATTTACGACCCTCTTAAGTCACTAAGGACAAAAATGTCCACTGCAAAAAAAAATGTTATAAAAATAGAACAGATTGATATTTATTGAATAATTATCAGGAATTTAACCCTTTAAATGCCAGAATCAAACTGGCATTTAAAGGGTTAAATTCCGAAAAATGATTGAATGTTTGGTAGTTTTGAGGTTTGACTTCAGGGCTGAAGTTGTTTAAGAGATTTATAAAGAAATAAATAAGAACCTGTTCTATTTTTATAGCAGTTTTTGTAAATTGGACATTTTCGCCCTCCAATGTTCAAACAGGGAACTACATTTTAAATCTGATGCTAAACAAAAACTAACAATGCATCAAAGTCAATATTTTGGATAATCTTTGACATATCCAAGACTGATTTAAAGAAAATCCCCCAGCCACCAAATATTTGTTTTATGGAAAATAACTCTTTTTGTGGTTTTTTTCATAAATAACAACAGTGACATCAAGTAATCAAACTGGCATTTAGAGGGTTAAATTCCTAAAAAAGATTGAATGTTTGGTAGTTTTGAGCAGGGCTGAAGTTGTTCAAGAGATTTATGCAGAAAAAAGTAGAAAAAAATATCAATCTGTTCAATTTTTATATCAGTTTTTTAGAAGTGGACATTTTTGTCCCTAGTGACTTCAGAGGGTCATAAACATGTTTCTCAGTGTTCTATTGATCTATTAAAAAACATCAATTTGCATTGCAAAATGTGTCAAGAGAGAAACTTTCTTACAAAATGTGTTCCATATGCACTAACAGACAAAATGATGACCAGATGAAGAGGAAACATTTGACCAAATGGACAGAAATGTCCATAGTGATACATGAGGGTTAATGTGAACATGATAAAAGTGTCTTCATCATTTTATTTGTGACCTCGTCAGTTTTGTTGAAAGAGAAACACACATTGACCATCTTTTCTACCTTACTGGTTTTGAATAAATCAAACAAATGAACATCATATCAACAAAACAGTTTCTGTATTATTTCTTTGAATGCTTTATGTTTCTAAATCGCCTGCAACTCAAAAGAGTTCTCTACAGCTGCATCCTTTCACATCAAAGAGGACTTGTCAGATTCATTTGAGCTCTTATTGTGTGAGGAAACTACTGAGGGCAAGTCCTCGAACGCATTAATATGTCTCACCTGCAGTTTCTTGCCGCTTTGTCCGAGCGATCTGTCCACCGCTCTGCAGCTGCTCTCCAGCTGGACAGCCTGTCTCTCTTGAGCCTTCAGTTCTGCTTTGACCCTGAGGACCTGAGCCCGGGCCTCGGCCTCGCTCACCCACTGGGTCTCCTGACGCTCCCTCTGCAGCCGCTCCTCCTCCAAGCCTGCCTCTACACCCTGAAGGTTCAAACAAATATAGAAAAATAAACAATACCCTGATACTACTTTCACAGCTTATGATTTAAAAAAATAAAGTTTTATTTCATTTGCTTTTGATTCTTAGCTGGCTTCATGTCTCATTCACCAAAACTTTATTCAAAAACATTTTTTTAAATTAAATATCCCCAAAAAATCTCCCGCACACAGCACACCTGTACCATTGCCAGCTTGTCTTCGATCTCCAGCTCGCAGCCTTGCAGGCGTCCTCGCAGCTCCTGCAGTCTCTCCTCCAGCTGCCTCTCACTCTCCAGCTCTATCTGCAGCTCGGTCGCCCAAAACTCCTCCTCCTCCATCTCCACCTTATTCTTCCTCAGATGCTTCTCCAGCCTGAGGATGTCCTCGACCAGTCCTCCTCCTCCTCCTCCACCACCGGGGTCTCCGATGCACCCTCCGCCCCTCCCCCCTCTCCCCTCCGCCCAGGCCTGCAGCTCGGCCTCGTAGGCCTCCAGCTTCTTCTCCAGCACGTTCAGAGTCTCTCTCTGTATACCCACCAGTCTGACCAGGTCCTCCATGCGACAGGCCCACAGGCCGGGCGACGCAGTCCCCATGGCCAGTCCTGCATGGTGGTGGTGATTTCCACCGTTTCCCAGGAGGATTCTCCTATTGGCTTCAGCCTCGACGATCCTGCCCCCGCTGAGTATCTCCCTGAGGCCTCTGGGTGCACCGGTGAACGTGAGCGACTTGCGACGCGGCTCGCGGCGCCGGAGGGAGCGGTCGTTAGGGTGACGAAGCTTTGCGAGGGGAGGGAGGCTTTGGCGGTGCAGCCCTCGTTCAGGTCCTCTGAGAGGGGGTCCTTCTGAGGGGGGTCGTTCGGTCAGGGAGGGGCCTGTGCGGAGCAGGATCAGCTGGACGTCACCAGCGTACTGACCCCAGGTGTTCAAGGAGGCCACGGGGCTCTCGTGAGGGGCGAGGTGACGCTCGGTGTCCCGCCATTTTTCTACCAGAGTGTATCTCCCCGTGCGACCTGCAAACAACACAAAACAAAGGATTTCTGATATTCATGCTGAGATAGATATGCACAATTTTTTGCTTCAAGTAATTCTGACAATTACCGGGAATCACTTAATCACTTAGAAGATTGCAAAACAAACTTACAGAAATATTGCCATGACACTCATCTTAGAAGTTATTTAAGATACACACAGACATTAACCCTCATGTATCACTATGGACATTTCTGTCCATTTGGTCAAATGTTTCCTCTTCATCTGGTCATCATTTTGTCTGTTAGTGCATATGGAACACATTTTGTAAGAAAGTTTCTCTCTTGACACATTTTGCAATGCAAATTTTGATGTTTTTTAATAGATCAATAGAACACTGAGAAACATGTTTATGACCCTCTGAAGTCACTAAGGACAAAAATGTCCACTTCCAAAAAACTGCTATAAAAATAGAACAGATTGATATTTCTTTCTACTTTTTTCTGCATAAATCTCTTGAACAACTTCAGTCCTGCTCAAAACTACCAAACATTCAATCATTTTTGAATGTTTGGACAGTGGAGGGCGAAAATGTCCAATTTACAAAAACTGCCAGGGCATTTGAAGGGTTAAATTCCTGATAATTATTCAATATTTTATAGTTTTGAGCAGGGCTGAAGTTGTTTAAGAGATTTTCGCAAAAAAAGTAAGACAAATATGAATCTGTTCTATTTTTATAGCAGTTTTTTGTAAATTGGACATTTTCACCCTCCACTGTTCAAACAGGGAACTACATTTTAAATCTGATGCTAAACAAAAACTAACAATGCATCAAAGTCAATATTTTGGATAATCTTTGACATATCCAAGACTGATTTAAAGAAAATCCCCCAGCCACCAAATATTTGTTTTATGGAAAATAACTCATTTATGTGGTTTTTTTCACAAATAACAACAGTGACATCAAATAATCAAACTGGCATTTAAAGGGTTAAATTCCTTAAAATGATTTAATGTTTGGTAGTTTTGAGCAGGGCTGAAGTTGTTTAAGAAATTTATGCAGAAAAAAGTAGAAAAAAATATCAATCTGTTCAATTTTTATAGCAGTTTTTTGGAAGTGGACATTTTTGTCCTTAGTGACTTCAGAGGGTAGTGAATGAATCTGATGCCTGAGGGTTAATTAGACATGGAGTCATTCTGCCGTAATCAACTTAACAATCACAGACTTAAACCTCTACAACCTTTTCTGTTTGTGGTTCTGGAAACAGCTCACAGTGTTTTTTTATAAGTGAGATAAGAGCCTTTAGTCTCAACCATACAGTTAAAGTGCCGACTGGAAAACAGAACAATTGGCTGAAGGAGGCTGAAGGTTGCAAAGATCTGCAGTCCATAGCTGCGTTAAGAGGTTTAACCCTTTCACATTCAACTTGATTCATTTTTAAACAAGAAATACTATTTTTAAATGCTGTTAAAAGAAAACCTACACACAGCTTCTGCAGTAGCATAAAGACAGAAACCCGTGTTTAATGCCAGAGTACTAAATCGATATTTATGTCTGATCACTTAAAGTGGTGTAAATCATTTTAATAGAAAAAAAAAAAAAAGGCAGAGGAGGTCTTCAGAGGCTTTCTCAGTTTGGCGAGAGACTGGGGAATGAGTCAGACTTTCCCTCCTCCTCCTACTCTGTGCTTTGTGGGAAGTGATGTCAATACAGCCTGTTCAAGTGCCCCCGCTCCTGAAGGAGCCATATGGGAGAGGGGGGTTACTCAGATCTAAGAAAGTACCAATACAGCCTCTGACTACGACCCACTGGAACTCAGCAGGAGCTGCATGCAGGCAGGAGATTCACATACTGCTTTTCTTAAAGGCTTTATATGTGATGTTTTGATCCAGCAGATGTCGCCCTTGAGCACCAGCATGAAACCAAAACAACTGGCGCTGCATTGTTGTGTTAGCATGCTAATGCTAGCGATCTTTATTCTGCTGGTATCTTCACACTGCATGTAAATTTACCTGAAATGAGCGTGATCTAGAAACACAGTTAAGCAGTGAGTACAGTATGTTATTCTTCTTTTCTCTAGTCCCTCAATTAAACAACTTTTATACACGAGGGGAGGAGTCAGCCGGCCGTCCCGACGATGTAAACAAAGTGAAGATAGGACTCTGAAAACTCAGAAAACATCAGTTTTATTTAAGTCCTCGAACGTTATTTTCAGAGGAGATACTTGATTTCTACATTCAAGTGTGAAACATCACATAGAAAGACTTTAAAGAATCAGATTTCACAGTTAGAGGAAAACAAAAATAATGCAAAGTAGAAATTCAAATAGCCTGAATGTTTCTCACAGGATATCTGCAGGAAGGGTTATAGTAGAAAAATACCTACCTATGGCCTGAGCCAAAGCAATCACCACTTCCTGGCAGGTGGTTGCCTCGGTGACCCCGCAGACGACCCTCTGGACTCCATCCACCCAGACCTTGAGCTCCATTTTAGGTCAGAAGCAAGGGGGCCGGTTGTGATGTGTTGGCCACGACATCATTGAAGGCTCCAGTGGTGCAGGGCAGCTGAAGCCCACTCCAGCCGCTTCACTGAGGAGGAAACCAAAAAGAAAAACAGGAAGCAGTTAGTCAGGATGTGCTCAAGGACATGGTCATAACACGCGTGTGTGTGTGTGTGTGTAACAGACACACTTCTTGTACCTGGTGTAAGATCTACTAACACAGGTAGTGAAATAAGCAGAATGTACAAAGTGTAGTCTTGCTCATGAATAAAGGAGAGTCTGTCAGTGTCCACTTCATATGGACTGTTACAGCCACACTGCCAGGACCAGCTGGCCATCGCACTCTTGTTTCTGTTCTTCGCTATGAATAGGTACATGTCTGTTGGGGGGGTGCAGGAAGGGTCTGCCAGTAGACTTTTCCCAGGTCCAGTTCCTGCTTTTGTACAGAGAATTACCCAGAAGCATCGAAGACAGAGCAGGAAGATTAAGTCAGTGACAAATTGAGGACGGGGAACAGCGAGGGAAACAGAGAGAAGGCATGAAAGTGTTATTAAAAAATGAAAAGGGAGAGCTGAAGAAGTGTTACATAAGGGAGTGTTGTAGGTTTTCTCAGTTATTGCCACTGTTCTGACACACAGTCATCACGGCAGAATGCTTTGGTCCCTATAGGATTGAATTCTAGGATATGAACACCAACACAGGAAAATACATGACATCGTCTTCTGAAGTTCCTTCTGAAATAATGATTATTGGAAGATTGCCTTATAGCACTATACACACAGTCACAATACAGATATGCTAATGTCATCTGGTTAATCACATCCAGCCTTATTTTCAAAGCACTTATTGAAAATGTGAACGACTGATACTGTCACCGTCTCTGAAACACCGATCGAGGGTGAGACATCCTTCAAAACGTCCTTCAAGGACAGCGTGCAGACAGAGAATGAATGGCATCTCCCCTGATCTCTATCACTCTCTCTCCATGGAGCTAACCTTCACTGCAACTACACTGCTGAGTCAAAAGGTCCTTTTGTTCACCAACCACCCCCCCCCCCCCCCCACCAATTACACCTCCCCCATCCCCAATATTCCCTTTCCACGCTCACAAAGTCACCCCACACCAGCCTGTCCTTCCCTCGACCAACTGCTTTTCTAAATATGGTAAAGACATTAGAGAGAGCTGAAGGGTAACATTTGTTAAATATGGTGAACAGATAAGAGCTGAGACTCATTATTATTAATTAATCTTTTGTCAGTTGGTTAATTGTGTTGTTAACTTCATGATAAAGATCAACAACACCACAGTGACATAATGGATGGTTTTGCCAAACTGTCCAAAAAAACCCACTAAAACTAAGAAAAACCAATCCTCACTTTTTGGAAAATTAATGAGAAATGACTTTTTCTGAATTAAAGGATCAGCAATGTATGACATTTGTTCTTTAACATATTTTCAGATTAATGCCAAACAGTTCATTGACTAATGTTTGTAGCTCTAAAAAACAGACAAAAGAAATCCTCAGGCACTTTCAGCGACTAAGAGAACTCAGACTTAAGAGCACAAACACACTGTGAGATCGGATCCATTGCATTTGTTTAGTATTTGAGTATCACACTTTGTCTGAAGCCTTGCTCTTCATAACTTTATTTTCAGCCGGTGGAAGGTGCACACACACTGCCCTTGCTTGGCATTGAGGGCTGAAAGTAATAGAGGCTCATTTAAATAGTTCCACGAAAAAGTAGACTGCAAGATTTTACTGCATTGACCCAAAAGACTGCAAAAAACTAGAAACTCTTCTGGAGGGTTGTGGAAACCGAAATATGGACAGGGTAGGTCTTGATGCAAAGCACATGAGTGGATCAGTCAGGGGGAAAGTTTTATACACTGGAGGGGGGAGGGGAAGTGCTTCAAATATTACCTATAGCAACTCTGAGTAGGAGCACTGAGTGCAATATGGTATACTACATTTTGATTCAGCATAGTGGCACAATCAATCGTCTTCAGATTAATAAAAGAAAAAAGGAAACATGTCCAAACAAAGCTGAGCATCTCTTCTTTTCCTTGCACAAGCTAGAAAGGACTCAGAAGGTAAATACACATCCTGGTCAAGGCTTGTAACATTTCTATTCATTAACATTAACCCAGAATACCCATCTGATGATACAGGCACAGTGGTGTGGGGCAGCGTGCCATCCTGAGCTCTGCAGGCTCCATTCCTCCAGCCTGTCAAAGCCTCAGTCTGGGGAGATGCCCACTCCCTGATTTGTGCATGCTCGTCCTCTGCCAAAGAGGAGGGCTTAAATATCCAGAATTCTACTTCAGCTCGGTTAAAAAGATGATCAACTCCAGAAAATCCCAAACTCCCCATGACATTTGTTTTGGCCTCATGTTGGTTTAAGCAGTGTAGACTCAAGATGAATCCCTGGGAGAGCAGTGAGGTGTGTGAGCAGCAGTGAGCAGCCTGGCTGCCCGGCTGCTGACTCTTCTCCAGGCCTACAGGAGCGTACAGAGCTGGCAGGGAAAATGGCCTCAACTTGCTGCTGGAGTAAACAACCTTCCATATGCTTGTGTGTGTGTAAATGTACACCCTGATTAAATACTATACTGTAGGAGGTTTTTTTTTTTTTACTGTATGAGCTTTGTTTGAGGATTCACAGTCTGTCGAGCATCACAAGCTGGTCTGAGAGTCCTGCAGCACAAGAAGAAGAAGTAAGGGGGGATCGAGTGAAACAAAGATGGGCATTCATTACATCGAATGAAAAACAAAGACTGAGCTTGAATCAGGAGGAAGCCTGCAGGGAATCAACTGAACCTCGTTGAGAAACAGGATTGTCAAGGAAAAGCCTCATGTTCCACAAGCACTACCTCTACAAATACAAGATATAACACCATGCTCTCGATGTATCTAAATGTGCAGACCATTGTTCTGTAAGGAAGAAAGCAAAGCTGCCATTTGCCTCCCCCCACCCCCTTACTCCCTATCCCTCTTCCTGCATTTTATCCCATCTCTCCCCCTATCCCTTTCCAAGCCCGGCTCAGTCTAGACCTGTGAAGGCTGTTTCATCATGAGCCGGGGAGCCGGCCTGAAGATTTCTGCATTCTAATAAAAACATTTTTTCTTACCACTGTAACTTTTGCTGCTTTGTTAAAGTGCTCATGATGGATCTTTAGGTCTAACATAACAATAAGTAAGGTCTTTTTAGCTGCTCTTTTGTAATATTAAAAAACAAAGAGTAAGGTCTTTGTAGTGGTTTCTTCTGTCTTCTTAATAAATCTTATGTTCTTAAACACTCTATAGTGACGACATTAAACTGTTTTATGCGTTGAGTTGGCTTCACACATGTTCCCATGTGTCCACGGTAAAACTACCGTGTTGCTCCGCCGTCACTCCTTTATCTCACTTAGAAAGCGTAACACATAACAATACACTTCACTTCCTGTCTCCTGATCACATGACTACGGAAGTCTTACAGAATCACAACAAACCTTCAAAATAAAATAGGAATAATCTCATTAAATATTCCCAAGATAAACACAAACATATTATTTGCTTTCCTCTCGCAAATCATAATCCAAACAATAATAATCAAACTTATTACTGCAAAAATGGCACTTACAGTCTTTTACCTGCTTTTTGTAAAGTGTCTCCAGATAACGCTTGTTATGAGTTGACGCTATACAAATAAAAATTGATTGATTGATTTGGAGAAGGACATGTTTGTTTGGTTATTAAAAGATTTAAAAGGCAACTACACCAAGTTACTAGAATGTAGTAGAAGGTTTCTGACATGCTGAACTCCCCCAATCTGCTTTTAATTAAAGACAATGGGAGACTGCTTATAGTCTGTTCGAGTACTTAAGCCTTTTTAGCCTATTGCTAACCAAACTTTAATTCAAATTGTGCTCCCTGTAGCGCAACATGTAATTACCAGCAATTTATCCCCTCCTGTAATTGGAAACAGATCTGTTGTGAAATGGTTCCAGCAGCCAGAGATGCTGGTTTATTGTGGATGCACTGGTTGGAACTAACTGGGGAAAGCTTTCACTTCCTGTCATCAAGTGGTACAGGTCATTACAATCCCAGGGGATTAAAACACATCAGGGTGGCAAAAGGTTTAGGATGAATGCAAAGATGGTCCTCATGTGGTTAAACATTAAGGGAACCAGATAAAGAAGTTCCTCAACATCAGTTTGCCAGCTTGCCCCGTCTACGACACCCTCTGCAAATGTAAACGCTGAGACTGCAGGGCAAAGACTGCGGCCTGTTGCAGGTCTTGATCCTGTGGAGAGGAATCTGATAACAGTCAGGATGTGCATTCCTGTGCTGTGAGAATGCAACGGGCCATGACTAAGAGACAAGGCTTGCTAAGAGTCCATCGATTCTGTGATCTGTTAAACACTGACACTTCAACAAACTTCATCCAAGCTGGAGTTCAAGGTTGAGACTCATTTAAAAGATCAGTAACTGAAACACAGTTTGTTGACAAATCTGGGAAACTGGATGATAAACCCCCTTCAATTAATGCATGGAAGTTAACAGTGGAAGATATTAAAGAAATGGAAAGAATTACGTATAGGCTAAGAAACAGAGAAGATGAATGCATGTGTTACTGGAGTGAATGGACAAAGGAAACAGATAAAGTGGAATAATAACAGGTATGTAAATTAAATTATATTAAATTAAGAGAGTGGTGAAGGAACAACCCCTGCCCCCCTCCCCCATTCTATTTATTGTATTATTAGTATTGTTTTTATTATTATTAGTATTATTTTTTCTTTCTAAATCTGAATTTAATTATCTTTTTTCTCTTCGTACCTTTTCTTTGGATTTTTATTTATTTTTATTTTATTTCATGTTGTATGTATTCTTGTATGTTAAAAAATTATATATAAAAAATGTGCCAGGATGAACAAAACATGTGATGAAATATGACAACTTGTGATGTAGTAAAACAGCCTGCAATGAAGTATTATTTTTTTAAAAAAGTAAAATCTGGGGAACAAAGTATGGAGTTGAACAGACTTTTTTTTTACTCTGTCCTTCAATTTCTAAAAGCATCTGGTATGCACAGTGTTTACATTCTCTCAATTAATTTAGTGTCCTCTGAGACCTTTAGCGCCTGCAATATAGATGAGTGTTAATTAACAAGCAATTAAAGGAAACACTGTGCCATTACTCACTCAAACACTAAAAGATAGAGGTGGTTATTCCCAGCAGATGCATTTGATTCAATTTAGTTTTCATTAAGATTCAAGAAAAATAATGGTGCTTTCCGACTCCTAAAAGCGTCAAAGCAAAACCCAAAATATACACAAAGCAGGGTCAAGCTTTCCTCAGGACTGCTTCAGAACTTTACTCCCAAATCTTTAGGTCACGGCGTCTAGGATTAAACCCACATCCCGCCACGCTACAGACTGCACCCTCAGGTCCTGAGAGCTCTCCAGTGGCCCCTGCCCCTGCAGCCGGCCCTCCTCCTCCTTCTTCTCCTCCCTGGCTCATATTAAAACCATTAGGTCCTGGACCTCATTTGAGAGGTCAGTGCTGGCAAGAGCTGCAACATCTGGATGGTCACGTTCAGCCGCAGCAATAATGCCGCCTTTGTTCACTTGCCATGTTCACTGCTCACTGGCAGGCTTATAGGAGCCGGGGGGGGGGGGGGGGCAGCAGGCTCCTGCAGCGGGGCAGCACAGCGGGGCCTCTGGTCTATGGGTTTACATGTTACAGTGGTTTGTTAAAACATCATCTGGTGCTGAATCACACACTCAGAAGTGAAATGGGTTTTTTTTCCCAGTCTGTACTGGGTGATTCTCTGCAGCCAAATCTTCATTCTACAATTCTACAATTCTCTTATCAGACTCTTTTCTCCAAAGCGACGTACATCAGAGAGTAAGAACAACACAAGCAAGGATCTAGCAAAAAGGGAACAATGTCAGTAAGAGCAAACGATCAGCTTTGAGTCTGATTGGACACACAGGTGCTGACAGGAAGTGACCAGAGGCAAAGCACAACATTGAGGGCAGTTCTTGAGAGCTCTAATCAGTATAGAAACCATCTTATAAGTCGTCGTTATCAAACAAAAACCATCGTCATTACCATCATCATCATCAGTAATATGGAGACCTCATCATTAAGTTAGTAGGTATTCATAAAGAGCTGGGTCTTTAGCTTTTTCTTAAAGGTGCAGAGCATTCAGAAAGCTGTAACACCATTAGGGCCTACATTCAGATAAGAACCACTGAATTACATGATTCCCTTTGCTTCTCAAGAAAGTCACAATGCATAGAGACTGAAAGACAAACACTGTCTGAGTTCAACCACTCTACAGGTTGCTTCAGCTTCACCTTGTGTGTAGAAGTATAGTACAGCACTGAGGCTTTAAAAAAGATAAACTAATTGTGTTTTAGGCTATATAAAGACTATAGGCTATACCATATGTTTACTGAGGCCATAAGAGAGTGTTTCTGGTAGCCATACTGAAGTTGCCTGACCTGAAGAAAGACAACAGTTTGAGCCAGCTCAGAGAAGGCTATCATGTCTAAGTGAAAACATTTGGCCCTTATGGATGAAAACAACAAGATAACCTCCTTTTCAAACACTCTTATGACTCAAGTTATCTGATGAGGCTCTTGCTGTGTGAGCTTCGTGTTTTGTCAGCAAACATCCTGACAGATAGCACCATCCATTCTCCTTTCTACAGCCTCCACTTCTTGGTGTCGAGAGGGGGACTGGGCAGGAGGAGCTAATGGCGATAACGGACTCGGAGAGTAGCCGAACTTCTACTCCAGAAATGTTTCCGTTATCTCCGCCTCTCCCGGTCACCACACCGGGGCTCAGCCGCAGCATAACGCTATTATTAGCTCTGTTTCTAATGCTCTTACCTTCAGAGGATTCAACGTAGTGTGTGTCCTCTCCCGAGTGAAGTTAACAGTATCCTTAATGCACATCAGGTAAAGACGTCAATTCCGCAAACAATGTTTCCTTCTTCAGCACTGAACCAGTAAATCACTCCCACGAACTGCGACAAAGTCTCGTTTGACTGCCGGGTCGAAACACAATCAAGGCGACAAGAAAAACGAATTAAAAAACCGAATAAGTCACGTTTCGATACTCTGAAAGTTTATGTGTCCTGAATGTGCGCTAAGTCTTTTGCGGTCTCTCCAGCAGGCTGCGGAAGAAAAAGCCCCTCTCCCCCCATTTCATTACTCCTGCTGGTAAATACACGGCATTGGAACTGGGACACCGCAAGGCATTGTGGACTGTTTAAAGCTGCAAAACCCTGAGAAGGGGGGGGGGGGGTTACCTACAGGAAACTTTTAGACATCCAGGATATTACAGTTACATATGCAACTTATACAATGTAAGCCCATTATGTCATTTTTAAATATGACATGTAGGCTACTCAATTAAGCTTTTTTTTTTTTTTTTTTTACAGCTCACTACTAATTTCCATATATATATATATGTTTTTTCTTACTTTTTATTGTCATCATGTCTTAACATACAGTACACATATTTTATATTCAACATAAGGATGACAATATTTTACATTTTTATAAGTGGTGTGGTGTCAAAAAGGTCGTGTCCCCCCCAGTGATGTGGAAATACTAAAAAATAACACTTACAATACAGAAACATGTTTTACAGTTTGTTTAAAGTAACTTGGATCTGTGTTACATAAATTCATAAATGTTTCCCTCCATCAAGGTTTTCTTCTCTTTCTCTACAATATTTAACATCTTTAGGAAACAAGGCAAACAAACAAATGAGTTATATAGAATGAAAGAATACAATTAAATTAAGAGAAAGAGAAGAAGAGTCAAAGGAGAAAGAAGAGAGAAAAATAAAGTGACACATTATGCTATGGATTGTTACTGTTATTTTAGATAGCTAGGCTACTAAAAATGAAATTAAGTTAAAGGTAAGCTACACAATTTACCTTTGAGGAATACGTTGAAAGTCGCAGAAGATACTCATGGGAGTACAATAGACTACTTTTATTTTTGAGTTTAGAGCTTGAGTAGGCCCTTGAGTACTTTCCACTCGTAGACATTTGAAGCTGCACAAGTGTTTTCTTTTTGTTCTATAGCTGAACATGAACTTCCAAACTCCATGTGATCTGCAGAGTCCCTCTGCACCTTTAAGAAAAAGCTAAAGACCCAGCTCTTTCATGAATACCTACTAACTTAATGATGATGGTCTCCATATTATTGATGATGATGATGGTAATGACGATGGTTTTTGTTTGATAACGACGACTTATAAGATGGTTTCTATACTGATTAGAGCTCTCAAGAACTGCCCTCAATGTTGTGCTTTGCCTCTGGTCACTTCCTGTCAGCACCTGTGTGTCCAATCAGACTCAAAGCTGATCGTTTGCTCTTACTCACATTGTTCCCTTTTCTCTAGATAAATGTCGCTGCTAAAATATCTATCCAATCATGTATCATAATTACAATATAGAAAAACAATAAACAGAGTAACATCAGATCATACACAGAAGATACCATAAAATATATGTTCTATGTTAAATGAAGAAACTACAAAAGGTTAGGGAGAGTTATAATAAATAGCAAAATTTGATTTTTGGTTACACATTATGAAAGAATGTAATGGGAAACAGTTTTTTTGTGTCTTTTATGAACTCATTACTTTTCATTAAAACTTAAAACACACACACAGGTCCTATACACATGTGCATTGTTGTGGAGAAAAAAAAGAACAATAAGAACAAATTCACTTGACAAAATGTTTCCTGAAAACACAGAAGTTATCAACAAGAGCAGCTTGGTGTATAAATGGAGGCTTACTGCCCTCTTGTGACTGAATTATACTTTTTTTTCCCTGTCTGATGAAATAAATTGTCATCCGCTGTTGTCCTGTCTCTAATGGCCTTTTCTAAGAATTCTGATTTATCCACCATGGCACGGGATTTGAAATCAGAAGTTTAAGTGCTTTGAGTCATCGAGTCTGGACCACAGCTGGATTACTGTTTTACTATCTGAACATGAAGTCTCTCATGAGTCACTATTTTAATCTTTATTCTCAAATGATATCATTATACCTTGTTTCCATAGCAGCTTATCGAGAAACCACAAGTTTCCAATGTTTCATGTTTCCATGTAACCATTCCAGTAAGAGTCACTCCGAACTCTGTCGTTTATAATTATAACTCAAATATGTTGTAAGTGTATTAAAGCACCTGTCAATAGAGTATTACTTTTTTGTAAACTTTGGTATATTAATTAATTTTTACACAAATACTAATGTCCTAATGCAGAGATATTCTTCTTAATGTATAGATTTACCACCAACTTGTATGATTTCAAAAGCATTCAAGCTTCAATCTAAGTGATATGTTTAGGCTAACAATGAAGTGACAATAAAGAATATTAAGATGCAAACTGTACAGGAGTGACATAAATGTAAACTGTTTTAGTGCGGGTGGAAGTGAGAATTAATTATTGGTCGACTATGTCCTGTCTGCCAGTAAAGGCAACACATCCATTAAGACTGTGAAATGAACGCTTTAACATCCTTGTAACTTCTAATTGTACGGAAGAGGATTAGGGCCACTGAAAAAACAAAATTTGGTTCAGATTTTTTATTTTTTAATTCTGAAATTCTTTTTAATTCTAGTTAATTCTTTTTTTGTCTGTTTTCTATTTTATTTATCTTTATTATATATATATATATATATATATATATATATATATATTTATTCTATTTTCTCTCTCTCTTATTTCATTGTTTTGAAGTGGATGTATGTCTGTGTATTCATTTCTGAAGATGTTGCTGCTTCTTTTCTTGGGGGTAGTTTATTTTTTGATTCATTCAACATCTAATGTTGAAAACATGTTTGTTGAAATGAAATGACCAAATGAAAGAAGCAACTCTTTGAAAAAATAAAAACAAAGTATAGGGTAATCTCAGAATTCTGACTTTATTCTCAGAATTCTGAGATTAAAGTTAGAATTAAAAAAACCATCAGAACCAAATGTTTTTTTTTCAGTGGCCCTAATCCTCTTCCGTATATTTGTCATGATTTTGCTGCCTGCATGGATATTAACACACACCAGTCCTCCTTTTCTATTCATTTAGCCTATCTGTTGGTTGTTGTTATTTTGCAATTGTAACAACAACTGAATAAAGTTATTTGCAATACTTTGCAATTATTTGAGACGAGAGAAAAGAAAGCCAAAAAACGGAATGCACATGTTTTGTTGGTAAATATTTTCAGTCACAAAAATGGCAAAATCAACATTTGATCTCTGCACACAACAACACATGAGCTGAATGCTCATAAACATCTTTGATTAATTAATTGCAGGCCTCTCAGTATTTAATGACGTGGGATCTATTTAATAGACATTAAAGAGAATTGAAATTAAAAAATCCCTGAACTCAGCTGTGGTCTAATTAGGGACTGTTAAACTTGGAGAAGTGCCAGACATTAAGTCAATAGTGACCTCTAGCGTGTCTGCTGCGTAAAGTCAAAATGGTGTTTTTTAAATCTTTTCGCACTAGAGTGTCATTTTGCTCCTCTTTATTCATCCATGGTTCTTAGTTACTACATGTTATGGCTATAAGATTTCATGGATCGCGTCAGTCCAATACCAATAGCACGTCTTTTAAAAAGAGTCCTACAAACGCACCCATGAACTAAAACAATCACGTTTTTAAAAGTGTATAAAATATGGACTAATGTTTTTCATTTTAAAGTCATGCTGCTGTTTTAGTTTTGCTTCTTTGTTTTTGATGCGAGCCTTGCAAGTGTAATATGCACAACACAGTGCGCAAGAGCTATCCCAGTGAACGCTTTGGAAAACTGACAAGAGATTGCCAAATCATTTCCTTTGCCTGGGAATGACGTCCCTGCAGCAGAGCTCGGTTATATTTAGAGCCTATATAAAGAGGAGTCGCCCCCTAGGCTTTGTTGACTCTACAGCAGGGCAGCAGCAGGAGAGCACTTCAGAGAGGAGACGTCCTTAAACTGAACCATGTGACCGAAAGAGTTACTAGAATGAATGTAATCATTAAAAGTATTAATTAAGAATCCTATCTGATAAAAAAAAAAAACAATATTATAATCTATAACATTTCACATACAGCTTTTAGATTAGGCTACTTGCAGAGGAAGGGAGGAAGGCTTCATGTATTTGTGAGAATAAATTAAGCATTCAAAATATTTTTTATGAAGACAAAACAAAGCATATTAATGCTCAAATTGCAAAAAAAAAAAAGAGGTCTAAAAAAACTATTCCCCAAACCGGTTAAAATCCCCTGCTATGCTTTGTGGGTAAAAGTGCGTCCCGGTGGTATCCGCCCATATCCGAGTACAGGAGGCCAAACCTGAGCAGCTAAGGCCGAACAACGCCGGATCAAATGGAAAGTTCAATCGATTAAATTGCCCACTTTTTTCCCCCTTGCATGTTCCCCTGCTTTGCTTCCGAGACGAGGTAAGACCGACTCTACATGCTGAAGACGTTTTGGAGTGAAATAGGAAATGCAGAGATCGAGTGAAAGCAGAGGATTATCAGCTTGACTTCTTTCGGACGCGGAACTCCAAACACATCGCTAAAAGGTAAAACAAATGTATGTGTGTTCCGCTCTGTGGGGGGGTTATGCTATATTGTGCTGCTAATTTCTCAGATATGTTATTGTGTCTCACCACTGAGCAGTATTCATATATATTTGAAGTATTTGTTTCGGTGTAAGTGGAAGCTACGCCCAGTTTGTGAAGCTAAAGTCTGGCCCTGCAGTGCAGACCTCCAAGCCCTGCACCATCCCCCCCTTTTTCTTTTTTGAATGAATGCTACAAATTCCTTCTGAAAACACAGTGCAGACGATGTTACATTCATGAGATATCGTTGTAAATATCATTATGTTAACTAGCTTTGAGCGACCTCCCGTCCTAGCCTGTCAGCTAACAGCTAGCCCCGGTTATTTAAACATAGTGCTCCAGAGGGGCACGAAACCCAACCTGGCAACCCTGCGAGCACACAGGTGTGTGTGTGTGTGTGTGTGTGTGTGTGTGTGTGTGTGTGTGTGTGTGTGTGTGTGTGTGTGTGTGTGTGTGTGTGTGTGTGTGTGTGTGTGTGTGTGTGTGTGTGTGTGTGTGTGTGTGTGTGTGTGTGTGTGTGTGTGTGTGTGTGTGTGTGTGTGTGTGTGTGTGTGTGTGTGTGATTTACCAACTTGTCTAAAATAAACATGGCCGCCCAGTAGTCTTCATGGTGGTGTTGTTGGTTTTAATGGTTGTCAACAGTTTCCAGTCATAACTTCACCACAGTGTCACTAAACTGTCATGTTGTGTAATTCTGATACAAACGACTGTGTGTGGAAACAAGCTGACTTATTGTTCCACCTTTTATAATCTCTGTTTCTCTATTTCACATGGTTTGTAATCCAGACTTTCACTACCCAGTGAGAAAACGTGATAGTATTCAGTTCATGAGGCATGAGAAGCATGTGGTGGACCAACTTTCAGAAGCCGGCTGTGATTGTTATCAGCACTCTTTATCTGCATACTGATAATATTTAGTTTCACTATTGGACAGAACAGCCTCTCTGTAATGTGTGTAAATCACACACTGCTGGGTGGAAGACAAGAGAATGACTTTACTGATCCCAAACTGGGAAATTGTGTTGTTACAGCAGCAGGTTATCCAAACACACAATATGAGTAAAAAACACAATATTAGAAAATCTAAACACAATATAATATTAAATACAAAGTAAATAAGCACTAAAAATATCAAATCTAAGAATGAGAATATATACAACCAGGATTTAACTAAACATTACTCGTCTTGAATATGAAAGATTAAATGTCAATGTGCAGAAACAGAGTTGTAAATGGACAGTATTGACATAGGGAACATATAACATGATCATTTCAGGTGTTGAGAACTCTTAACAAGCGTAGTAAAAGTAAACCTTTGTTAGCAAACACCTATCAAACCACATTCTAGTTTTTTTGTTTGACTAGAAAAGGCTTATGTTATTGAGTGGCGCTCCACCCTGACTGCAGGCTGTGCAGAGCTGTGAGCAGTTTGTACTGTAACTTGTGAAAAGGCCAGCTGCCTCTATTGATGGGTGTCATTCCACAAAGCAGGCAGGCAGACAGACGGGACAGAGCCTCCCAGTCGCCTGTCAATTCTGCAGCCTTAATGTAATGTCATAGATTTCTGCCTGGGGATAGTTTCTGTTGTTGTGTGTGTGGCTGCTACCCAGAGAACAGCCCAGCATGTGCTGCTGCATTTAGACTTTTGATTACAGAGAATTATATGACCATCTTTATCTCTCGAACCTCATCCAGCCCCCTGAATATTGTCATCATACAACTCCTCTTAAGGATAAATACTTTTTAATTTATGAAGCCTATTAGTTTGGTGTCCGCCAATTTAAATCAAATAGTTTCATTAATCAACATTTATCAGGGCTGCTTTATCAGAATTTCAGAATCTAATCTCCTGAGTTTTGCAGCAGTTTTTCCTTTTCTTGCAGATGAATCATCATATTGTGTGTTGATTAAAGTTTTTTTTTTCTGCTTCTTATCCTAAATTGGGCATTATCCCAGTGAGAAGCAAAAAAAAAAAAAAAAGCAGGATGGTATGAATTTTCCAATGGTGTTATTTAAAGATGAGTTGAGGGGCTATTTCTGACATAAAGTAGCATTTTCCCAGTCTCTCAATCTTGAGGACGACACATCTGTCCCAGAAAAGTTAGAAATGAAGAGCAGTAGGTACAGATAGTTAGTATTTGAGAACTCTTACTTCTAAACCTCTCCTTCTAAGGCTCCGATGTTTCTGAGCCGTCTGTGGAAATGTCTGAGTTATAATGTGCTCTCTTTGGTCCTGCAGGTGAATCATGACAGAATATAAGCTGGTAGTGGTGGGAGCTGGTGGTGTTGGCAAGAGCGCTCTTACTATTCAACTCATCCAGAATCACTTTGTGGATGAATATGACCCTACCATCGAGGTAAGAAAAACAACTTTTTGCATGTTTGTATCTATGTGTCTGTCTAGTCCATGACTGTTTTTCCATGTTTTTTTTTGTTTATGTATTTTGGTACAATGCTAAACTTCTCTTTAAAAAAGGAGTTGCAGCAGGTTCGTCTGGTTTAAGTCTTAAAAAGAAACCGAACAGGTTTTTAATAAGTCTCCGTGTGTGTGTCTGCTGCTGGCCTGTTTCTCAGGGGGACAAACCATGCAGAGTGAACACAGCCTCACTATTTCATTCAGTTTCATTTATTTTTTATTTCGAACATGTTTTCAAAATAAAATACAAATATACATTACAAACAAAGCGTACTTTCTGTAGTGATTATTTTTCCTTAACCAGTCCATGTTTGAAAAGGGTGTAGGATGAAGTTTAATAACTTATCCAGTCCTACCCTTTTTATCTTTTTAGCTTAATAAATTAATCCCAGACTAAGCTTTAAAAAAATAAAGTCAAATAATACAGATAACGAAGTCACAAAAGCAACAGATATAATGTATTACACACATTGAATTGGTAGACGGTACAGACCTTACAACTGATATTGATTCTAAGAGAAAGACGAGTAAATGCTGGGAAACTGGCAGACAAAATGGTGATGAATGCTGGGTGGAGGGGCCCCCCATGGATTTATGTCCCAACAGACTCTAGACTCGCCACTGGTTATGCGACATTACGTTTCCCTTAATTCATTGTTTATTTATTTTCAGAATCAGAGTTTGTGGCCAAATACATTTACACATACAAGGAATTTGACTTGGTGTATTGGTGCTAAACAATTAACAAGGAAATAAAGCAGAACTAACAACAACTTAAATAATACAGTATAAGAAGATATTACAATATATATAATTTAAAAATGTAAAATATAAAAAACACAATCATGTTTTGCTTTAATGTTACAAAAAAAAAAGCTTTTTCTTACAATTCAATCAAAATGAGTTTCTAACTCTCCATTGATACTTTAAAAGTGAAATGTAAGAAAGTCAGGCATAGTCTTAAGATTAGTTTTTTTTATTTTAATATTATGGCTATTTAAGGTACATTTTTAAAAATAAGACTCATAGATGGTTCTATTTTAATCTAAATGTTGTGTTTTGTAAATTGTACTTTGTCTCTCTTTGTGTTTCCGTCTGTAACTTTGTGTTTTTGCTGCTGCCTGTCTCGACCAGGTCTCCCTTGAAAAAGAGGTTTTTAATCTCAATGGGACCAACCTGGTTAAATAAAATAAGAATTATAAAGTTGAAACAAATGTATAATTTTAAAATAATCCACTAAATCCGGCTCTCATTATTTTGATTAAACTGGGATTTGTTCACTCAGCGCTCTTAAAACAAGTTTTGACAGGCTCCTCCCCCTCCTCCTCCTCTTCCAGGACTCGTACAGAAAGCAGGTCGTGATTGACGGTGAGACGTGTCTGCTGGACATCCTGGACACTGCAGGTCAGGAGGAGTACAGCGCCATGAGGGATCAGTACATGAGGACAGGCGAGGGCTTCCTCTGTGTCTTTGCCATCAACAACACCAAGTCCTTCGAGGACATCCACCATTATAGGTGAGCTGAGACACTGAGGGTTCAAGGTGCTGACAATCAAGTGTCGGTGACCCCGGTTTGATTCTGGCCGCTTGCTGCTCGTCGTTTTTCCTTCTTGAACTTCCTGTCGGCTTTCTACAGTCTTTAATTATGGCATGAAACACACAGTGAATGACATGAAGTAAAATATATTTTAGTATTGTAGGTTTGTAAGTCACACTCCTCAGCACTTCACTGATATGTACCATGCGTTTTATGACATTTTGACATGCTGGATTTTGAAAATATATCAAGCTAATGTAGCGCTAAGTTGCATTTAAATATAATTTCTCAACGACAAACCCTCAGCTGTTCTAAAATCATTGTAAACCATAGCAGACTTCATCAAAGGTGTGTGTGTGTGTGGTGAGTGCAGCCTGGAGCCTCTTGCCTGCAGGTCCGTGAAGCTCCGCCCCCTGGAGCTTCTGATAATCAAAATAAAAGCTTGCGTCTGATTTTGTTGACTGAAATATCTTCTATTGTCATCAACTAAAATGATGTGCAGTTTTAGTCAGTGACTAATTGACTAAATGAAATCAATAACAAATGACTAATATGTGACTCAATATAAAAGGACATGTTCGTCAGGAGACTATGACTAAATTAGAAAATGGTGTGAAGATTAACACGGGCTAAGTTGCATTTAAATTTTCTTGCAATGGCAAATCATTTTTTTTTTAAATTCTCTTATGGATGATTGTAAGTTTACATTTCTCTTGTTGAGATCAGACTCGGCTTATGTTAATATATTCCTCATAAAGTACTTTAGTGTAGTAAAATACACAAACTTAAATATCAACCTACAGAAAAAAGCTGTTATGTAAGTGTCTGTAATGAACACAACCTTATTTCTTATTATTTAAAGTCTTTATATGTGATGTTTCACACTTAAATATAAATCAAGTATCTCCTCTGAAAATAACTCTGTGAGTCATGACTGTCTACAATGGGTGTAACACCCGAGTCCCACTGTCTGTGATGTTTTCAGAGTTTTCAGAGTCCTATCTTCACTTTGTTTACATCGCCCGGACGGCCGGCTGACTCCTCCCCTCGTGTATAAAAGTTGTTTAATTGAGGGACTAGAGAAAAGAAGAATAACATACTGTACTCACTGCTTAACTGTGTTTCTAGATCACGCTCATTTCAGGTAAATTTACATGCAGTGTGAAGATACCAGCATATAAAGATCACTAGCATTAGCATGCTAACACAACAATGCAGCGCAAGTTGTTTTGGTTTCATGCTGGTGCTCAAGGGCGACATCTGCTGGATCAAAAAATCACATATAAAGAGTTTAATGTGATGATAAATGTTTTTATCTGTTGAAATCCATTACATTATAATCATAGATTGATGAAATCTGTGTTGTCTGTGTCCAGAGAACAAATAAAGCGGGTGAAGGACTCTGAAGATGTCCCCATGGTGTTGGTGGGGAACAAGTGTGACCTCCCGTCCCGGACAGTGGACACCAAGCAGGCTCAGGACTTAGCACGCAGCTACGGCATTCCCTTTATTGAGACCTCGGCCAAAACCAGACAGGTGAGTGTCCTTACAGGAGACGACCACGCCCACTACGCTCATACATCAACATGTCAGTCTGCTGCTATCCAGCAGGCTGGAGTATTCCCCTGCAGGTCCGGGCGCATGTTTGGATGGTGAGAGGCTGCATGTGGTCTCGGGTCTCGGCTTGAGGGGGAGACAGCAAATCTCACTTTTAAAGTCAAATGTTACTGTTTCATAGGAATGTTGACTCTCACAAAGGCTTTCTTTCCTTGGCACTAGAAGGGGAAACCCTTGAGTTGTGTGCTGCTGCTGTTGATTTGTTTCACATTCAGTGGCTTGAATGTTTTAATCATGTTGCTGGGAAACGTCTCGGGCGATGCGCTGCCCATCATTAAAGGTGCACTGTGGAGGTTTGGTAGAGAAGTGTTCAGATTCTGTGGTGTATGTTCATAACTCTACACACAAACTGTCCTCAGAGGAACATTTGGTCCCTGGAACACAGCTTGAAGATAAAATGCTTAACGAGAAGTTATAGAAGGGGTCCACATCACTCAGTGGCAAGCAGAGTTCCAGGGATCCATTTTTTTACTCTGCGTAAAGTTTGTGTATTCAGTTCAGAAAATAAAGCACAGAATTGTTTCACTTCTCCAACTTAAAAATGTCACTACATAGTGCACCTTTAAATCTTCTTGGGTTAATTCCATTTTTTTAATTTATTGGCTATAATGGAATCAATGCATGCTACTCTCTGTCGTGGGTTTATGACATTATTTGCTCATTGGGGCCACTCTCACAGGATCCTGCACTATAAATCAGTAAATGTGTGTCATGGAGTTCTGCATGAAAAGGACAATCAGTCAGTAATCACTCAGCAGGGGGCGACTTGTTACCATGACTGGGTGCTGGAAGATCTGCGGTGGTGTTCGTGGCATTATAATGGTGTGTGTGTGTGTTGTGAGCATGGCCTTAGGTGTCTTGACTGGCTGACAAAGTGATCTGTAAACACGTCTTTCCTGGTCTCTTTGACCCGGGGTGAATCACGGCTCTTTCTGGTGCGGGGGGGGGAAGTAATGACACAATGATTGATTTCTTACAGCTCTGTTCACATATTCTGACCTTCTGAGTTTAATTCACACTCCACACTGTGCTGATGATGCTGGGGGGAGCAGCTGTCTCCTGCACCCCCACACTTTACAGATTTGTGCAAATCTCAGCAATTTCCTCTAAAATGACCCCTGGAATCTGTCACGTACAGTGAAATGCTTAATTAGAATTTGCTCTTAATACCTACACTTCTTTACAGGGTCCCTCCTTGAAAAGCTTTAAAAAGTCTCAAATTAGATTTTTTAAATTGAAGGTTCTTTAAATGTTTTACTTTAACTTGTGAGACGTTTTACATTTTAGACTTTCGACATGTCTGTTTACATTATAAAAAAAACCATACCGTCCATTGAGCGTTCATTTTTTAAATATTATTTTTTTGGGTTCTCTGGTTAAGGTGTCAAATTCAATTTGTTGATTCTAATCAAATCGTTGCGACTTGCACTCACCTCAGCATGGAATCAATACAAGCATGAGTATAAACAGCCTACCTGTCCGACCCAAAGACAAAGGAAAACATTATAGAGTACTTTTATTTTGAAATGTTTCTTTGCAAAATAAACTGAAACTAAATCCGCTTATTGTGGGGAAATCATGTCAGTCACGTTTGATACTTTCGAATCTAGGGGCACCACCAGAAAGCCTAGCACCCCATGAGTGGAGGCTACAGCCCTCATCACAGCAACCGTGCGTTTGATTCTCTTAAACTGTCTTATCTAATTAAGTCCAAAAATCCTAAAACATAACTTCTAGACGGACTTTCTAATTCAGGTGTTGAAGAATAGAATCATCCCTTAAGAGAAGTCTTCAACATTAAACTGAACAGTTTAAGATGAAGATTTAAAAAATGACTTACTCAATCTTGATAGACTGTGAGCTTTCTGAAGGAAGTAGCCACTCTTTTAAAAAAATATCAGTTATAATTTTTTTTCTCCCTTTTACATGATTACAGAATCAATTAAAGAAGTGTTGGATACCAACATCATACAAAATACTTGTATGTCACGCCTGCGTTCCTGGAGTTTTGTTCTGATGTGTAGAAATTAACATCTTTCTTCATTTCTGTCTAAAATTTGATTTAAAAAAAGTTCTTTATAAGAGAATCAATAGTTAAGGCTGAACTGGGCTCAGACTGTTCTTTAGTTGCAGCCTTCTGTAAACTGGAAAGACTTATTTTTTTGAAGTAAATCCAATATTTAATCTTCAAAAGTGAAAAAAGTTTTTCTGTTATGCGTAAAGAGTCGATATTTTTGCACATTTGATGATTGTTTGGAAAACACAGGAAACTTTTTTTTTTGAAGATTTTTTGTTTTACATTTTAGTCTCCGCCTCTTAAACCTCTCACTAGTAGAACTTTATCTTACTTCAGCCATTTTTCTTTTCCCTGCCAAAGGAAGCAAAATGCGTTCAAACTTTGGAGCTAAACTTAATCCTTTAAAATGTTTTTTTTTGGGTGGATGGATATCTGGTGTGGTTATCACTTCATTTAGAAGATTAAGTCGCTCCTTTGTGTATCTGTAACCTGTAACACATCCAGTTTGTCCTCCTGTATTTCCATGACATTGAGGGAAGTTGTGTCTCACACTGCAGAGAGTGGAAGATGCCTTTTACACTTTGGTACGGGAGATCAGGCTGTACCGGGTCAATAAGCTCTGCAAGGAAGAAAAGACGCCGCGCTGTGTCAAGCTTAAAAAGTGTGTTGTGATGTGAAAGGGGTAAGTGTATGCAGCCGTGCGCCTGCTCTGCCAGCTCTGTGTGTCTGTGTCTGTGTGTGTGTGTGCGTGTGTCTGTGTCTGTCTGTGTGTGTGTGTGTGTGTGTGTCTGTGTGTGTGTGTGTCTGTGTGCGTGTGTGCGTGTGTGTGTGTGTGTGTGTGCGCGTGTGTGTGTGTGTGTGTGTGTGTGTGTGTGTGTGTGTGTGTGTGTGTGTGCGCGTGTGTGTGCGTGTGCGTGTGTGTGTGTGTGTGTGTGTGCGTGTGTGTGCGTGCGTGTGTGTGGCAGTGTGGACGAGGACACACGAGGAGAGCTGGTGCTTAATGGGGAAACACCCAGCCTAACCTGCTGGTTTCTGTCAGGGCTGTGGTGAGGCTCTAACAGGAGGCTGATGATGATTTCTTCTCTTTTCATCCACTCTGTATCGTGGCTGATTTATTTGATTTGTTTTTATTATCAGAGGCTGTTTTGTTTTCACACTGGGTTTATTTACTTGAGTTTGAAAGCAAACTCTTCCCTCTGGCTATCCCCACATAGTCTGCTTTCACACTTTCTACTGTTCTAGTCTGTGAAGTATCAAGTTTGAGACCCCCCCCCCCTTCTCCCCCGTTAGTAAATTACTAAAAGATGCTACCGGATGATAATAATATAATAAAATAAAAGAAGGGCTGAGTTCTGACAGTTAATCAAAATCAATTATCTGTTTGAGAAGATCAAATTTTCAGTCAAATCTGGTCCCGACCCGGACTACAGTACCAGTGTGAAAACATCTGAAGTCGGCTAAAATCAACATGGAGAAATGGTGGGGGAGGGGGGCAGGTAAGGGGGGGGGGAGGGGGGGTTCTGGGCTGGTGTGCCAGCATGTTTGATCAAAAGAAGATTGTGGTGACTCTGGGACCAAATCATGGACTTCAATGTTTCTAATGAGGAAGTGGTCGAAGGAATTGGCAAATTGTGTGTTTGTTGGTGAGAACGTTTTTTTTTTCTTTCCCTGCAGTCACACATCTCTGATTTTTCCTTTCCCGCTCTTTTTGTCACAAACCTGACGTGACCTCAGGCTCTTCACTCTGCAGCTCCTACAGATTCACTGTCAAGTATTTGGCACTGTACCTGATTTTTGTACTCGGATTACTTGCCTTATGAGGCTTCAACAGACAGTAGCTGCATTCACATGGAGCCTAAAATGAGTTCAGCAAGAACACAAATGATTTGAAAACATCTTTCAAGATAACTTCAGCCGAAAGTAAAAAAAAAAACAACCTTTTAATAAACTTCAATTTTAATTTCTCCAGGCTTTCGGAAAATCACCCACTTGGCTTTGTGACTAAAGTCAAAGCTGTTCACCAGAGGAAGATGTGTCACTCTGCTTTTTATTTGTTGCTCAGAAGAGTCTTCTTCCACTTTGTGCATTTTTCCCAGGAGGAGCCTCTTCAAACCGTTTGTTAATTAGTTTAAAGAGATTGAACAGAAGGCAAACCTTCTGTTGTATATCTCTGCTGGTAGAATATTTAAAAAAACCAAACATGCAGCAGTAAACTACAATCACTGCCAAGTGCTGAATGCAGGTCCATCTTTTATTTCACGGTTCACTTGTGTGGATGTCCTGCACATAGTTACAAAGGATTAGTAAGTGGCTCATATATCTGTAGCTACTGTCTGTTTGTGTCAGAGGGAGAAGTGCTGAATGTTCTGTTTAAACTGTGTACTCTTGATTTGTGTCATGTGATGTACATTAACTTTGTCAAACGTGATGGAAACTGGACTATGACTCAGTGGAAAGATCATTTTTGGAGTCAGGATTTTTCTTCAAACAAAATTTATTAAAAAGAAAAAAAATAGAATTTAGTTTCTTTGATATTAGAAAACTTTGAAACTATATATCCATTTTAAATTAAAGATTGGATATATATATATATATATATATATATATATACACATACATACACATACTTTGGAATAAAAGAAAATCACTGCAGACTTCAAAAACCATTCTTCCAGTGCTGTCGGGCTGTGTGTCTGTTTTTTATGATTTCTGGTGTTTCTAATAACAAACCTGTAAGCATAATAATGTGCTCTTTGTGTTTTTATTTTTCAGGGCGTTGACGATGCCTTTTACACATTAGTGAGAGAAATCCGGAAGCATAAGGAGAAGATGAGCAAGGAGGGCAAAAAGAAGAAAAAGAAGTCCAAGACAAAGTGCACACTCATGTGAATAACAGCCCCCCCCCTTCAAGACAGACTAAAACAAACTATGTTGAACAGTTACAGTAATACATTTTGTACATTACACTAAATTATTAGCCTCTTCTCAGTACCCACCATATTGAATACTAAAACCTGACCCCCCCCCCCCCCCACTTTTTCTGCCTTTATGTCGTTTGCTATGAGGACACCAATAAGCTTTTATTTTCAGTTCAGTGCCAGTTGCCCACACGTGTTGGTCCTACAGCCATGATGATGTTTGATTGGGTAATTTTTTATATATAACCACAGAGCTGTGAAAGAATCGCATCACAGCTCCTGTTTCACTTATAATTCATTCACAATTTGAATTGTTTAGTTATCGTTTTTTTTCCTTTGCTTAAAAAAGTCATGACCTGCTAAAGTTCTGTCGTGCTCTTTTAAAGTCTGGGATGCCAAAGAATGAATTTTTGCTCCCAATTTCCAAATCTTAAAAAAGAGGACCAACACCCAGCCAGATGAGATCCAACATGTCACAGCCACTGTGTAACGTCCCCCGTCTCTAGGTCTTCACTTAGTTTATGTCACTGATATAAGTATGCATGCAAACTTCTACTCTTCTTCTCCCCATGTGTTACCACCTTAATTAGCCCCCCCCCCCCCCAAAAAAAACAACATTAATTTGTTGATGCTTTGTGCTATGTGGGGATTTCTTGCCTACATGAGACGTTTTGTGTTGTCTTCTTTTCTGCATGCATTGTGTTCTGACATGACATGGGGGGGGGGTTTGCATCAACTGCCTCTGGTGGAGTCAGAAACGAGGAACTCTGACCCGACTCCATATCATACATTCATTCAGTCGTCAAGTTCATAGGAAGGATTCAGGACTTTGCTTTAAGTGAGAAACGAAAATTTGCCACTTCAATTTAAAAACCGAATCAGAAAAAAACCAGATGATCACTTTTTAGGGACTAGCAGCAAAACTGGTCACTTTTAATGTAGCAGGGATTCATGCCAAGTCGCAACTGATGTCCAACAGCTTTCTTTTTTCTTTTTTGACCTCACAGGTCCTCGTTGTTCTGTAAGGCACAACCACAGGATGCTTTTTCTTTCATCCTGATAAAAAACGTTTTATTGCCTTTTTATGACAAAAAAAAGAAGTCTTGTCATCCTCCTGATCGAGGTGATCAAATTGAAACTTTAAGAAGCCTTTTTATCAGCTTATTCATGTTCAGCAGGTTTAGAATTTGTGATTTTTCCAGTAGCTATAGCCACACACACACACACACACATACATGTCATGCCTTGTCCAGTTTTCTAAGCTGTCGACTGTTTTCTCATGACGGGGACGGACAGCAGAGAGCGTCTTCAAAGCGCTCTCAGGAGGTCTTCCTCTCGGTGTCACAGAGGTCGTTCCAAATGGATTTTCACATTCTTCCCTTTGCTTCTGAAAGAGTTTTTTTTTTATTTTTTAGATTAGTTTCCTAAAGTGTTGAAATAGTTTGGAGGGGCTGCCTTTTCAACAGAGATGATTGTCCAGCAGAAATTAGTCATTTTGCTCTCTCAAAGCTTGTTTATTGAGGTGATGATGTAACTGGAACTGATGTGTGGAAATGAGGCAATAATTGCCGCAAAATTGTTTTTTTAGAGAAAAAAGGTCTGAATACTAAAAAAAATAAAAAAATTAGCTTCCTCCTCTCTAGGTTAAACAATACTTCACCTTTTTCCATCTTATTTACAAGCTGCTCTCCTCGGATTTTGATTGGCCCTCTTATGTTTGCAGTAGGTGCTACTTTCTAGGTAGACTGACGACGACGTGTGCTTCGTCCTGTGCGCTCAAACAATTCACACAAACGCTGTCTTAAGGGAGCGATGTGGTCCACACACAAAAATCCACTTATTATTCATCATGCTTTTCAGGATTAATGAATTTGACCCAGTTTATTATTATTACCTCTTTTTTTTTCATGAAGTCAATAATAACAGATCATTATGGAACCCCTCTTTGTGAACAATACTGTCTCAAAGTAGTCTAACTGAAATGTTCCTCTTCCTTTATTGCGTGCCAACAGCTGATTTTCTGAAATGTATCATTTATACCTGGATCATATTTTAACAACCTTTGTATAGTTGTGATACTGAAAGGTGCATATTTTGTAAATTTGTGCTTCATTTCGTCGGTGTGTCTAAATGAATGTTGCTTTAATGGAGGTCCACTCCGCTCTGTGTATGTGACTAGAGAGTGTGTGTGTGTCTGGGTCCAGGTCTATAGGGAAGTGAATGAATGACCACTTCACAGCACAACCTGTTGTGGGCAGTGTCGAGTGGTGATCTGATCTCAAAACGAGTCTATTTTTTGCCATGAATCTCACCACTCCTATTTAATGTGTAATAAAGAACAAAGAAAAGAGGAACTTCACTTTGTCTCCCGTTCTTTCAATGTCTTCTTGTTTCCCGTTTCTAAAAACAAAAAGATCTGAAATGTCTTTTTGCACGTCGCTGTTCGCTCCATCAGAGGAAACCATGACACTAATGAACAGCATCATGCATATGTTAGGAAAAACATGTCGACATATCATATCTCAGGTCAAACCATTGTTGTCCAGCAGGTGGCACTGTTCACTTTCTCTGGCAGGTCTGAATCTCTGCAGAATCTATGAAGGGGGCTGTTCTCTGAGTGAGTGAACCTTGATTTATGTTTAACAAGTAACACCAAAAAAACATTTAAAGAGTGTTATATTTGAGAAGATTAAAAAGAGTTCAGTAAGCAGACAAGCTCCTGCTTTAGGTGTAGCAGCAGACACTGAAGACAAAAGATTTTACTTCAATTTAGTCAAGCTGAAATCTTTGATTTTTTATTTTTTTTAAGATTTTTTTTTGTTGGGGGCTTTTTGTGCCTTTAAAGAAGAGATAGGAGAGAGTGGGGAATGACCTGCGGGAAAGGAGCCACAGGCTGGACTCGAGCCTGGGCCTCAGCCTCCATACATGAGGCGCACGCACTAACCACTGCGCCACCAGCGCCCCAAATCTTTGAGGTTTTAGGAAAATGCATCATTTAGAATAGAAAACACTTTATTGTCTACCTTTTGTGTGCAAAGGGGAGAAATGTGTCATTTGGTTTCACTGTGCAAAGACAATAAAAACACAACATATCAGTTAATAACAAGATAAATAGAAAAACATAATGACTGATAATCACAACAGAAGCTGCAACAAAAGGAGCTCTCAGTGTTTTACATTTCATTCAAAGAGAAGAAAGATACGAAGTGCTGTGTGCTGAAGAAAACAACAGCTTTCATGTAAAACTGATTAAAAACTCAATTTTGTGAGAATAGCAGAGTTCAGAGGGGAGATTATTCTCTATTAATGCCAAGCTTTAGTTTACTCTGCCCTCCTTCATTTAAAGTTCACTCTCAGTCAACAACAGCATGACTGTTAATATTCTCATTTTGATGAAACACACCATGAGGTTAATGAAAAACTTGATTTACTTTTGGTTTATAAAAACAATAGATGACAGCAGTCTGGTATGAAAAGTGTGACTTGTATTCAGAGTTTAGTTTATAGAATAAAATAATGTATGTGATAACATTTACATTTATCTGTCTCTTTGGAATAAAACAAAAATCCCACTAAGATGTGGATTTGATCTTTGAGTATCTGAATGTTGAATCAGTTCTAGCGCTGTATAAGATCTGTCCAATAATAATAATAATAATAATAATAACTTTATTTCTATAGCACCTTTTAAAAACTCAGGTTTACAAAGTGCTTTGACAAACAGCAAAAACAAGAACAAACTAAACCAAACACAGAAGAACCATCACAAGAACCATCACAAGAACCATCATAAGAACCATCACAAGAACCATCACAAGAACCATCATAAGAACCATCATAAGAACAATCACAAGAACCATCACAAGAACAATCACAAGAACCATCACAAGAACCATCATAAGAACCATCATAAGAACCCAGGCAACACAAGAACCATCACAAGAACCATCACAAGAACCATCACAAGAACCATCATAAGAACCATCATAAGAACCATCACAAGAACCATCATAAGAACCATCACAAGAACCATCACAAGAACCATCACAAGAACCATCACAAGAACCTTCATAAGAACCATGATAAGAACCATCATAAGAACCATGATAAGAACCATCATAAGAACCTTCATAAGAACCATCATAAGAACCATCATTAGAACCCAGGCAACACAAGAACCATCACAAGAACCATCACAAGAACCATTATAAGAACCTTCATAAGAACCATGATAAGAACCATCATAAGAACCATCATAAGAACCATCACAAGAACCATTATAAGAACCTTCATAAGAACCATCATAAGAACCATCATAAGAACCATCATAAGAACCATCACAAGAACCATCACAAGAACCATCATAAGAACCATCATAAGAACCATCATAAGAACCATCATAAGAACCATCACAAGAACCATCACAAGAACCATCACAAGAACCATCATTAGAACCATCATAAGAACCATCATAAGAACCATCATAAGAACCATCACAAGAACCATCACAAGAACCATCATTAGAACCCAGGCAACACAAGAACCCAACAACACGAGATGAGACCAAGAGGAACCAAAGATTTAAAAAGATGTAAGAAACTAAAAGAGATAAAAGAAAATAAAAAGAGAACAGCAATAAGAAGGTAAGAGCAGGAAGAGAAATAGAAACAAGTGAATCAATTATCAAAAAACTATAATATTAATACAAATAAAAAGTAAATATAAATATGAAACATAAATAGACAAAGTAAGTGAGATAAAAAATGACCAAGTTCAAACATAAGAGGAGTTAAGATAAGAGCATAAATAAAAGTACAGTAAGAAGATAAAAATAGTAAAACCAGTAAGAAAAGACATTGGACAACTCAGGGATCCTTTTGTTTGTTACATTGCTGTGTTTATTTATTTACTGTGTTCACTTTTTATTGCTTTTGACCCTCGGGGTTTGAACTTTTTTTCCCAAATCTTCTCAGGTTCATTTACTCATTTGAATAACATTGAATGCTTCCAGCAGAGGTAAGCGATGACTTTGAATGAGAAGCCAAAAGTGATTCTTGCAAAGCAGCGTAGATACTCATATAAATACTCAAATTTGCCTTTAAACTTCAAAGTTTCAGATTAATGTGCAAATTCCTGCTTCTACTCTCTGCATGCAAATAAACTAAAAAAAAAACTTCCTCTGCATTGTCCCCCCCTCCCCCACAATGTCTTCAGTTTCACACCGCCGGCTGCTGTGTCACATTATGACCCTTCTGTCAAGCAGAGTAAGAATCATATTCATTGAAAATTAGTCTTCACTGAGGATTACCTTTAACATTCAGACAGTGTTTTTAAAGCATCCTTCTTGAAATGCAGCGACTACAAGAAAGCAATTTACCTGAGGCAGATGAAGATAATGATAGAGGCTGGATCTTCTATTATGAAACCATAACAGGGCTTATTGTTCATCTAATATGAGCTCTTGTGCTTCTATTTCCTTATGTTTGACCTGTGTGTTGAATGATGAAACTTTAATATGCCTGTGTCCTCCAGCTCCTTGTTTCACTTGATGTTAAAAGTCAAACTGAACCAGAGACAAAAAGCATATTTGGTCATATTATTAAACCTGCTCGGTGTGTATACTGCCACTGCTTTCTTATAAAGTCTTAACCAGCTCATATTCTCTGTCACTGTGACAGAAGTTGTCCTCTTCAGGAGCTTCTGCAGGATCGGCTTGTCGGCGGATGTGCTTGTTTAGTGACATTCTGTGAAGGGAAATGTCATGTAGCATCAAAGACGGGATATATTTTCCCCTTACAGATTTCTAAGCAATAAATGCGCGCTACATCACGACCAGAGACAGTATACAAGCTTCAGGAGGACAGGCCTGTGTATGTGTCACACGCTGCGCTAATTGGCTGCAAAACAATGTTTGGTGTAAAAAGGCAACCTAGAGAAACTGTACTCTGTTTTGGATGATTATAACCTCAGCTGTTCATTGACTTCGCAGATGATCACTAATGAATCCTTTTCATGCTTGTTTGCCAATTATGAATTAAAAATCTTACTAGTTGTGTTGTTCTAATAGCCCCCTCTGATCTCCTGTTTCCTACATAATTATTCCACCCTGAGCTGCAGAATCGCCTCTTCTCACAGGAAAGTGAAGATGTTTCAAACTGTTGCTGTGAACAATAAACTCTGCTAACATATTGTGACAAGCTCCATTACTGTGTCTTCTTTAACAATGGGGCGATACGCGGCGGCTGCCACACAGCAGCCCAGAGTGAGAAAAGAAAAGGAGAGAGGAGATCTGATGAATTATGCAGAGAGAGCCTGACAGTCTGAAACCAGCCAGGAGAAAATTGTAAAAGAAGTGCGAGTCAGTGCAGCCATCACAAATCCCCCTCCTCTTCCCCTAGGGGACCGCCAAGGCCAAGGCCTGTCAGTCAAGCGCCCCCCCCCCCCCCCCCAAACTGTAATCTTGGGACAGCGTTGAGAAAGCCTGCAGGGTCTGATAAGATGCCCCCAGAAACCAATCTATAGCACTCTGGGCTCCGATCAGGGAGACAGGTGGTAGGAGGAAGAGACACTGCAAATGTTCCTAAATTGCTAACAACAAGCCTCAGACTGGTTCCACTCAGGAGCCACAAGGCCCCACGGCTGGAAAATCTATCTGATGGATCGAGCTCAATCACAATCACAGAGCAGCTCTGACCCCCGTGAACGTGCGCAGGAGGGTGAATTCACAATCATCTCCCCCCCCTGACCTCTGCCTTGTTAGTGCACAGAGCGAGAGAATTTCCTTTTTTATTTATTTTAATGAAGCGCGGCCCTTCCCCTCGCTGAGGCTGAGTGCGGGGCAGGAAGAGCGCAGTCCATTAATGAGAGGCTAGGAGGTTCAGGTGTCTTCAAAAAAGCCTGCAGCAGCACACACATAGGAGAAGACCTAACACAGAAATGTTTTTCCCCCGCCGCCCCCCTGGAGGAAGACGGAGAGCCCGGATGAATATTCATGAATCAGTGATGAAGTGTGGTGCCTTACACTTTGAAAAGCCCCCTCGTGCTGCTTCTTTTTTATCACAGGAGGTCGCGCCCCCCCCCCCCCCCCCGGCATCCAACCGCCAATTATCATCTGAGATCATTAACTTGTTATGTTGACACAAACACTGCAATTTCTGATGCCCTCCTTTATTCAAATGACCCTGTTCACGAGGAGAGCCAGACTGCGCTGATTGGATTTTTTTTTTTTCTCCTCGCAATCACTCAACAAGTGATGTTTGGACACACAAAATTAATGAACAGCGTGCTGGAGCTTTGAACTGTGTGTGCATGCTGTGTGTTTCCAGACGGATAAACAAGCTTCTTAATATCTTTGCATCA